TTTTGCTCACAAGCACATGTGTAATTAGAGACGCGTGTGTGCCAGGAGGCGTTGAGTCACCAATGCACAAGACAGCACGTTCTCTTTAAGAAGATCTGATTGGTTCCTGCGGGTAATGCGCTTGAGTTGGATACTTGGCTTTGGCATACCCAAACAAAGGTCAAGAGCATGGCTCGTGGGTCTTACACATTGAGCAGCTTCTTGGAAGCATATTCCTGGAATCGGGAATCAGGAAGTGGACAGCTGTACAGACAAAGTCTTGAACCAGAAGAACCAAGGTCTGTAGTTATCTTTTGTGAAGTTAATTTTAATTCCAACTGTTGTAAAATTTGGTTCTGAAAATCCTTATTTACAAAATCTTCACTGTATTGCAGTCCTGTTATGTGGCGCAGAGTAGTTGAATCAGTCATTTTGAAAGGATTGTCGGATGTACGTTAAATATTTACAATTAAGCAATTAAGTGAAGATTGCACTTTTTTTCTAATAATCATCAAAAATAAGCTTTGTGCGCACTGCGTGGGCATCTTGAACCGGACATTTCAGCTTAGGTGCCCCATCGCAGATACCTGCCAGTCCATTGTGATTGAAAAAAAAACGTTTTTTTTTGGTTTAAATTTATCAGAGAACTCCAAAAGTACAACTAAGTTTTTCCATGAGTACGCGGAGTGGCAAAGCTGGATTACCAGTGTCCTTTGGTGTTGGCAATCGATTGAAATAGAAGTGCTTCTGTTATCACGGCCAATCACAGTGCATCACATTACTTGTGTGTGTCGATTCCTAGTGGATATCCACTCAAAGGATTGAGTTGGGAGTACGGGCTAAAATTGTGTTATTCTGGGCTATAAATTTCAATTTAAATTTAACTAACGTTTGCCTTTATACAAGTAGATTTTGCATTTGTTCTTTACTCGAAATGCGGTATTCGTTGCTCCCTAAGTCGATCAAGCTCTGACCAACCTGTTTTCGACATTTGGCCCAAATAAGTGACCTTGTGCGATGAGCCAATGAAATGAAGCGCTTAACACTACGCTGGCTTATACAAAGCGTCTGCCACGTCAGTTGGTATTTTACTTTAATTAACTAACGTAATAAATACTTTTGAACAGGAAGTGACAGAAGCGTCGGTGCATATTGAATTAACTCGTATTTCGATGTTTAAAATCTGCGGGTTAGAGTGATTAATGTGCCTTCTTGAAGTCAGGTTAAGAACGGATGTGGTAAGATGAACCGCTTGACTTGCACTCGGATCCGGTTGGCCAATTTTAATTCCAAAATTCGCTCCCGGTAACACCAATATCCGGTCATAAATCATTTCACATCCCGTTTCTAAGACAAGTACTTACACGAACGTGGATGCCGCTACGATCGTGGGCTTCCACACGGTCTAGTTACACTTCAGTACAAGCACACCGTAATCCATGTTCAAGTCATGCATTTTGGTAATTCTCACCCCAATTTTTGTTGTTTGAACCAGTTCCTCACTTCCAGAAAGAAAAAAAATTTATAAGAGAAAGATTTGTTTCCCAGATGCACAAACCACGGTATTCCGTTGTTCTGGAAACTGACACACGTGCAAGTTTCCCGAAATGATTTGAAAACCTCGTTGATTGTTTGCTTGCACTGTGATATCAATGCATTACTCGTATAGAATTGGACTAACGGGTCTACAATCCTCGTGGGCTGTGCATATGCCCGTCATATACAAAATCTACTCAGCTAAAGCAGCATCTTTTGGAGTTCGTTCCGATTAACGTAGCATTGCCACCGGGGGAGAATTCTTCTAACTCAATGCCTTTAAGCGTAAATAACTGTCAAAACATTTCACGGTGGTAACGTAAGGTAACTAAAAGGATTAGGAGATCCAAGATAGCGAATCGCCGTTATTGTAAGACGTTTTATTGCATTGCGACTGGAATTCCATCCAGCAGTAACCATAAATTTTACGTTGCAACTGTTCACATGCGGACAGAATCGGCTTAAACTCATAAAATGTTTTACTTAGATAATTGTTGATCGTAGTGTAAATAGCGTTAATGGAAGCATTGTCAGAGGTTATCGGCTGACAAGATCGAAGCCACCCTATTCCTTTGGCCCCGTATGTCATGCGTGGAGCTTTTCCGCCAATGAAAACACAGGTCGTGCCAACGAAACCAAGGTAGCTTAGTGATTGGTCGGCTACCTAATGTCCACCAGCGACCTTCATTCTAATTTGTCGCTTCTCCGCTTTCACCCGCAGATCCATTAAAGTAAGCTTTACTTGCATCCGATCAAACAAATATTTTAAATCTAGTAGTTTTCTTAAAGCTTTTCAAGTTTTCTCAGTTGCCATGGGTTTATTCGATGGACATGTGGATTAGTTCAAGAAACCTTAAGCTAAGACTCTTCGCTGTGATTACCTTGTAACGGTGTGCATGAGATGGGTCAGCTGAGGGAAACGATCCGTGAAGAACTGTATGTGAACTCTACAAGCACTATTTTTCTCAAAGCAGTCCCAATCTGCCCCTTTCCCCTCTGTATTTAGCACATTTCAGCATTCAAACTGGAAGAAGATGCTTCTTGAGAATGTCATCTACTTTCCTAGTGATTTTGAATGTATTTTCAAACAGAAAATATAAACGTAGATTTCCGTTTCCATAATCTTATGTGAGCGAATGCAACAATTCTTTAATCCTTAATCTTCATTTTCCCTTTGTACACGTAGCAATCCCGCTGATTAAGAGTCATGATACACTGTCTAAATTTCACTTGTTTTTGCTACGGTTGTAAAGTAAATCTACCAAGTAGATTTTCGCCATTTCCAAGTTCTGGAGCCAGACCCCGCCTGATTCAGGAGCGTTGTGGCGCTCTGACTTGGATTGATATGACTCCAAACCGATAAATTATTTCACGTACCCTTTATTGAAGCTAATGAACACGAGGCCATCAATTATTGTCTGAAAGAATCGGTATCTTATTCTATGCACAAGTTAAATTAGTTTTTGTTTCCGAAAAACGCTGCATCAAGACTATCCGGTGTCAGTTGGCCATCAAAAACTATGCTACTGAAAGGCCACTGTTGCTAAATTTACTGCCATTGAGAATACGGATCAACCCCAGATATGGGGAGCTGAGACAGCCAGGTCCATTTCGCCTTTGCCAATTAACTAAGTCATAAGGCAATAAATTCATCGGCTAAACTGCGTTGAGGTACTAGTACTGCCACCCATAAGCAAGCTCCCAATGGCTATTTCGTCTACCACTTAAAATTAGAGGTTCTGCGCCTTTCAATTACAGGCAGTTCACGCGTGAAGAATCAAGAGTTGGTTAACTAACTGTACCATTTCTGATAATCATTTCCGCCCAAGTGCATTGTTACGACTTTGATAATGAACACGACTCAGTTGGACTGTGCCTCATTTTCAGAATGAAAAATGCTGAAGCTGTCAATCGTTTTGAAATACCTGAAAGTAATTCTATCCTTTAATGCAGTTTCATTAATCATTCAAGGATTGTCAAATACCTGTAACATAATGAGGTTATCTCGACCAATTTTTTGAAGCTTTAATTGGAGACGGGAGGGACGATAAAATCAGTAGCCCCATTCAGAGAAATTGGACTTAGCTATAGCTTTACACGTATGTTCCTTTTGGTTAATGCCCGTTACATCGTCACGTGACTGATGGCGGTGCCATTGGATATGACACAGCTTTAAACCAAAGCCCCTGTTTGTGTGAATGTAAGTATCGCCAAGCGTCTGGGTCACAATCGTTCACACACATTATTTTCCACAAAACCATTCGCTATCAATTTAGTCACTTCTCCCATTTGCTTGCCTGCAAAATGTGCGTCAGTCCTGTTACAATTTCCCACACCGTCCTTATTGTCTACCCAAATGCTCGTGTCGTTATCCTGCGCTAATTTAATTTTCCCATGTGCCGTATTGATGTTGACGCCGGCGTGGCAATCCACTGGTTTAAGCCAGACTATTTATAAGGCGTTTGGTTCACTTCACCGCCATAGCTGCTTCCAGGGCAGTGTACTTCCCCGTGTGATTTTTTTGGGGAAATCTAGTCCCTGTTTTGACGTTGGACTTGTTGTTGCAATGTTCAGTCACTTCCAGCCGCCAGAAGATGTCGCCGTCTCTAAATTCACTACCGGATGAATTGCCAGTGGGTCAATAAGGTCACTTCGAATGAAGCTTAACTAAATTTTCAACGTAGGCGAAGCACATTGCAGTGGATCGCTGAATGAATGTTGACGTGCCTTCGATTAAAGCGCCACCTTACATTCAACAGACTCGAGTCGGTCAAAGTTCAAGTACAGACAAAAGTTTAAGTAGGCGCTGAAAACACGAGCGCGCTGTAAGGGAGCCTAGACACATATATCGCCTCATTTACTTGTCGACACGTCCCAATTAGTGAGTCAAATTCGGATTTTACTCTAGCACAAAATTCTACTTAAAGTCTAATTAGTCTAAAATCTGACCGATTCTGTTTGCTCTCTTCGATGTTTGGCACGTTTTCCGCTTAATAATGGCTGTGTCAAGCTTTCAATTTGGCGTGCATATCTAGTTAATTATTGCCAACACTAACCTATCGTAGTCGTTTTAGGTTAATTGTTTTTATCAAGTAAACAATTTGCCTTAGCGTATCCTCAAAGACCATTTATTCCATAAAAATAATGGTCATTAAAACGTTTATTTTAAATTTGAAAAGTCAAACTTAAGCCAGATTACAAATTAATGTATACTGTTTGTTGTTTGGCATGTCAGTAGATTGGCAAAAACCCTTGTTGATAATCATTTTCTTCCAAATCAGCGACATTCGAATGAATTCTTTCAACCATGGCTCTCATCCATTTTTTCTGGGGCATAAAAGTGCATTACTTCAAACTCCGACCTGTATATCATCACTTTGATACGGCACCCTATTCAGTGGGTCCTGTGCAAGATAACCCATGGTAATGGCGCTCATTATCACTTCATAGAACTATGTTGGTCTGTATTTTTTGAACTCAGAGTAATGGAGGAGGCGGAGGAAGATGGGCAGGAGATCAGGAAAACCTTCAACCAGATTAGGCTCGAAATGGAGAGACGAAAGTAAGCCCAAAGTTTCCCGCTGGGTGACTGACTGCATGCTCCTCTCTCTCTCTCTCCCTGACTGCATGTGCTGACATGCACAGATCTGTTGTGTATGTGTGTGCTGATTTTAGTAGAATGTCTTAGAAATCTCGAAGCCCAGCGAAAACAGAAAACTGAATGCCTAGATAGATTACTTAGGATCTACAACAGAGGCAAATTTACAGCCGCGTGGTTACAGAACGTGGCCTTAACCTACTCGGTGCGCAAACGTGCTTGAAAATCGGCGTGTTGTATTGCGTCCTCCCGTGTATTTTGTGAAGAATCGAAGACACACCAATTGTGTGTGCAGTGCTGTTGTAGCATAGACGAATCGGTCCGTATTTTTCGTTGTTCTTGTTAACGTGGGAACCTGAAGTATTGTTCTCTAAGTGTAAATTCTTCTGAAGCATTACTTTACTTCTCACCTAATGGTGTTTGCGCAGCAAGAGTAAATCTAGTAAACTTCATGTTCACAAAACTCTCGAGGCAGAGTAGTCGTATTCTATTTCAAGTGGGTCACTTACGCTGTAATAGCCCATCTTCGTCTGTCATCAGTGGAGCAGCAAATGACTTAGTGTTTAGTTTTGTGGTGAATTCTGGCTTATGCCGCTGCGAGCACAGGTCTTAGTTTAAGTCATAAGGGCTCTGATGTTGACAGAACATTTCTCGCGGTAGAGTCGCGCAAACGTCAATCACACGACGATCCGCGTATGTTTGGCATACACATGTGTGCATGCGGCCGTTGATGAGGTGGCGACCACTCAGGAACTGTTTATGAGGTCAGTGGGTGAGACACCGTCCTTGTGTTTGTGTGTAGAAAATGAAAGTGGATTAAGACTGAGGCAGGTAGTGTTCTTAACGTGCCACGTCTCAACTAGGAATAGAGGTTCTCTGTGCTCAAATGAAGATATTCCGAGGAATTAAAATCCAAGCTTCCACAGTCCTGGTTGTCGGCTGGATGGAACATGGAGGGCAGTGTACTGGGTGTGAGGGAAGGTATGGCAGGTTTAGGCTCTTGTCTGACCCTGCAGAGGTTTTGAGCAGTCACTGTGTTTCCGAAGTTAAAGACTGAATATTGGGTTACCTCAGACGGCACACCTATAGTCTTCGATGCACTTCCACAGGAAATGAGCCTTTCGCTTCGCAAGCTCTGTCCAGGTCGAAAACGAAACCTGGATATTACGAAAGGGTCAACTGTGATCCGAAATTCATGAATACAAGGGCCCTTTGATTCACCCAGTTCTTACACATTACCTTTTCTTAATTAAATACACCGCTTTTATCATTCTCTGTGCATTACACTATGCTTATTCAAATCTTTCGATTTCAAACCATGCCGTAGTCATTCTGCTTTCGCTTGTGATACGTTTTTTTCACAATACCGCAAGAAATGCACTCACACATCACTCTTTGTGGTCTACAAATAATCTTGTTACTTTTAGCAGCTCAATTTCAGGTTTTGTCCCTTTTGTGCACGAATTTAATGCACTGCGTCAGACTCCTTTATTGTGCAGGCTTAAAACAGCCAGTTACTTTCCAAGAATTAATGCCCTTTCCATATGGTAAAAAAGGCATTTTTTTACTAACCTGGATCTTTTATGTAGATGCTGATTTTGAGATAGTTTACGGTCATTTTTTGTCTTTTTTCCTTACTTTTGCCTCATAGAAAATCTCGTGACCGCGTCTACTTGTAAAGAGGTGTTTTACAATCACTTAAAAATTCAATTACTCCTAGGAATTTGCATTCGACCTTCCTTTAACCAAACAGTCGCTGTTTGAGGAATTCTGGTGTCTTCGACAGCACATTCCTTTGGATGATGCGTTTTGTCCTTTTTAATGTAGCTTGCCCCAACTGTGCACAAAATGTTCCTTAATTTTAGTTCGATGGAGTGACCTAGGCTTAGAAAAGCGATTTATATTTTTAATGAAGAATCACTCCGAAATTTAGCCAATCGACTCAAAAATGAATGCTGTGGTGTAATTATCAGTAGTTACTTTCATAAGAAAATTTGTTTCGGCTTTTTTGTAGTCTTTGAAACATTTAAAAATTTAACATTTAATAATTTCCCCGATCAAAGTTTGTCTAGGTGCTTGAGATGTTTACAAACTGATAATTGTTGAATATGTTAATTGAAAAACACTTGTTAACTATGTGATTAATGGAAATTTTGATCAAACGTTAACGTGATAAACACGACCAACTATACTCTTTGCTTGATTGCGGTTGCCTCAAATGCCCTTAAACACGCTAAATGTGTCCTAGACACTGAAATGTGGGTAGCGATTCTTGAACGACCCATTTAAATTTAAAGTAAACTATATCAGAAGTCAAATCGTGATTGGTTGACGTGGACGAAGGACATAGCTGTAGGCTCAGCTGGGTGAAAGAGCGAACAGCCGACTGAGTTCCTTGTCTAAGTAATTTATTTGAAAGCACACATCTTGATGCTAACCTGGCCTTCGTTCATCGACACATTTTCACATCTAACACAGCATGTCATACGTCATTTAGTGTGTTTGGGCAAGTTAAATATTTTTTACCCCATTTATGCGAAATTACCATATGGAGTCCATTCGGGACTCTTACTATTTCCAGCCTCGGTTGAAAGGAGTCGATTAGTAATTTTATCTAAAGATATTCCTTGGTGTTTCAATCAACTGTGCCGAATAACATTTCCTCTTGACACGTTTTCTATATTCCACAATCGTATGGGCAGAGATTATTACAGATTTAGACGATGAAGACGTGAGGGGTGCCTTGGGAAATTGGGCTGATGCCTAGTCGATCAAGGTCACAGCACTGAACTGTTATCACTCACAAGATAGCTTAAAAAAGGCACAATATCATAGTTAAGTGCACTTAACGCTTCCGTGGTCGTAGTTTTAACCCAGTCAAATGTAACCTAGGTCCACGTGTTGTACTTTACCGACTCACGTGCACATTAGGCACGGCGGTGAAGCCCGCTGGGCCGACTTCGGATTTGGATGTACTGAAGTGACCTGAAGAGGGCTTTAGCGACTTCCCGCGGATGAACCGATTAATTTACACTAACTAGCCTGTCAACCTGGGAAGAGGTATGGCAAAAAAATGAGTTTAGTAAACACAAGTAACATTCTGCCATCGGGTGACACGAAGCAACTACGTGTAGTACGACCCGTTCCTCGTCTATTTAAACTTAAGTGGGGACCACTTCGTTAAATGGTTTAATTCCATGGTTTGTAGTGACTTGACGGTTCAAAAAACGCGGTCATATAGTGGGAATACACCCTCCAGGGCGTTAAAATTCCTTTACAGCATTTAGGCGTTGTTAAACACAGTGGAGTAAAATAAAATGTTTTTGTAGATCTGTTAAATTCAAGGGACAAATATGGTATTCTACATTGTCGCAGTCGGTATAATTGTCACATTACCCTGGCGTTTTTTACTTAGACGTTGTGAGTAGCTGTTTGCATTTTTTTTACTGTGGCAACACGTCATGATAAGCCTTCTACACACTTTCTTTCTCCTCTGGTGAACCAAGTCGGCTTTCGTTGCCTGCCTGTCGCCTGCCTTGGAGATTGTAACTTCCGGAACTGACGCGAATGATCTTCAGAGCGAGCAATCAGTTTAGGAAACCGAATAGGTCATTTGCTACAAGTAACAGTAAAACACGGTGTGGGTCGGCAAAACCGTGGCATATCGTCGAGTGAGTGGGGATAATCAAATTCTGCCCACATCTTGTCTTTTAATTTAATGTTTGTCGAACGTAAGGCGGAAGGTCCAAACAGACTCGCAACAGTCGTGGTATCTGGTTGATCGCTATTTGCCGTGGTGTTCCCAGTCACGATAAACTTTCGGCGATTGAGAAGGTAGTCGTGGGTAAATTGCTTTAATAATCCAGTACCGTGTAGGCAGAAACTCTCGAATACTCTCACCGCGAGCTTTTGTTTGAATGTTGAGAGTAAAAAACACGTATTTAAGCCATTTTGGAGTAGTCTGGGATTTTTAGCGATTGGATCGGTAATTCAGGATCGGGTTTTGTAACTTTGTTTAGATTGTGGGAGCTGTTAGTTTGACAAATAAAATTTGGGCCGAATTATGATCCTAAAAACCTGCGCCTACCGAACACTTCGCACCTATATGCATACGCTCTTCGCTAGTCCCGCACGTGCACACAAATGACGTAATACATCACGCGGCTTCTGTTTCACTGGTGCAACATGCACACACGCACGCACCGCTCGGCCAATCAATTTGCAGCCTCGCTCCCAGAGTGCACACAAATTAGTTCAGCCTTAATTTTCTTTCGACCACCTATCGAGGTTGCAAGGCTAGTCGAGAGCAGGTCCTCTCGTTAAATTCTATCTCCCTCCTTTCGTTGCAGCATTGTCGGATCTTTGCAATCTCAACCACCTCAAACTCATCAAAGAGCCGGAGTATCTGATATGGAATCGCCTCAAAGCGGGGGATATTCAGGATCAACTTCTGGCTCTCGCTTAAACGGAAATGAGACTCCAAATTACTCGCAACACAGACCACCAAGTGGCCGTGTTGGATCAAGCGAGGGGGGCTCAAATCACGCCAGCATGAACCGGGGGAACAGAGGGGGTAGGGGCAATGCCCCGGCTGGCATCGCCCAGGTGAGGCAAACTCTCGCCCTCCCCGACCTCCAATTGGGTCACGTGACTGTATTCACTGATCGTGCTGAGCTCGTGCGGACAATCACGCCTGTTTTCAAGGCAGGCGAAATTGTGGAAATGCTCTTCGAAAACGTCTCTTCTGCAATCGACAAGGACTCCATTAGGTAAGAAAGGCGCTGAAATTTTAACGTGTCCTCGTGCTGTGCGATTTTTACCGGGCTAGGTGCATAGCGATCGTCAGTAGACTTAGTGCGTATGTTTGCCTCTTAATGCGTAATGTTCATTGTCGTACAAGTTGCATCAAATATCTGCCCCTGAATTCATGCAAACAGTAATCGAATGGAACCGATCAGGTGTACACATTTAGTTCATGTTCTCACGCTTAAAATGAGCATCCTTTGAAGTATGCTTGTGAAATCTTCATTTATTAGTCTTCTTCTTTGAAGTGATGTGTATTCTCAGCAAGGCATTCATTTTCTCACAGGCCATGTTTCTTAAGTGAAGCCCCTAGAGGATTTAGGTTGCAAATCAAATGAGCTTAGTTGATATTCAGCATAAGCGAATTTTTTCCGCTAATCAGTTGTTGTATAAGTCAATTTTAGTAGACCTTATACATTTAAGACACACAGATATAAGTCATTGTGCTCTTTGATAATTAATACTGTGGAGATGGGCTCATCATTTTCGATTACTCATTTATAACCACAGATATAGCACCATCTACGACAAATTTTCCTTATTAAATGGAACAGGACTTAGCCAACTTTCCAGGGTTCCGTGGTAGTTGGCATGCGATACCCTCTTCAACACAATCACAGCGCTGCTTCATGTGATTAGGCTTGTTAGTAGCGTGGTCATATTTAGTGTTAAAAGGAAGTGATAGTCATTCCTCGTTATGAGTCGTTGTGAAGTTTCTGCTGTTTGCCTTAATTGTTGGTAAGGACGGAAAAAGGACTCGTACCTGAGATTCCGGTACCTATGTCGATGATGCTAATATCTGTACTTAAAACCACCATAAACAGACCACTAATTTATTCAGATTTGTTGAATTAAAATTTACAACGACCTTAAATCACAAATATGGATATATTGCAAAGCTCCATATTGATTATTAGATGCAAAACAAGGCGTTATGAGGTACCTCGTGAGATTATGCTCACTACGGATGTCGATACCTAGTAGTATCCAGTTGATTTACATTCACACTTTAAAATATAATTTCCTGCTATTGGTCCATTCCACCTCTGCCTTATTGGAGAGTGTTAACTTGATTTATTGTTCCACTATGGGGTGTGTGCCACTGAAATTGTGTGCAGCTCAAAGTGTCCTTAATTCAGTATGTTGTGTGTAATCTAATTTCGCATTCCCATAATACTTTCTGTGCTCATGTTTTGTATTTCTGGAATCGAAACCAGGAAAATCACATCACGAAATGCAACTCGAAATTCTAATCTATGAGGACTAAAGTAGGATTGCCACATCTCACATCCATTTCTGCTTGCTTCATCTTGGACGCTGTTTCAGGGTGCCTGCATTTGGTCCAATTTTTGCGCCAGTTAATCACTGGAAACAGATTTCGTTTAGACCAGGTATAGAAAGCCTTTGTGCATGCATATTGAAAGTGCATTCGCAGAGATGGACGTGACACCTGGTTCCCTGCTCTAGACAAAAGAGAATGTTCCGGTTGGGGAATCTCCTTACCACCGTCTAATCTACCAGTTCAGAACGTGTGTATGTGCATTCTAACCAAGTATAAAGCAAATATTGTAACTTGGTTGACTTAACGGACGCAAACACTTGCATTCAGCTGGATGTGAAATCGTTCCTATCGCCTACGTGTCGCAGAACACGAGTTCCTAGTCCCAGGGTCTCAGATTACACTGCGACTTCCGCGTGGTGTTATGCAATGCAGTTTCACTTATTTGCAGTGCAGGTTTACATTTCCACCTCGCTAGTTCCCCTTACTCTATCGATAAAAGAATTTTTTTTCATGATTCACCACAAGTCTGCTGGTTTTAATTTAGAGGTTTCTGTCTGGACGGGTGAGTCGTGTACTTTTAACGTGGCAAAATCACGAAAAGTACATGGCAGATGATGCATGAATGCATCGTGCACTTAACAAATAGGATTTGAGTGTTCGATAGTGCTGACTAGTGAGCCGTAAAAAGTTTTCGTTCCTTCGTCTGTTTGATTATACCGGTTTTCAAAGAAAAATGAAAATAGGCCCGCAAGTAAAAGTTGTTTCATATTTAAAAATTACGTCCCGTAAACTAGACTTTTTTCAAAGCCTAGCTACGATCTTTGGGCGTCGGCGTCCATATTAAATTTTATTTTTCGGATTGCTGTGTTGAAATTTGATTTGCTTTACCGCCCTGATAATAGGAATCTACGCGAATATGTGGTGTTGAAATATTAACACAGCCTTACCTTTCCTCGTAGGCAGAGTTAGGTGGTCAAGCATATGCTGATTAACCTTTAGCAGTACCGGGGTCATAAAACTACTTTCTGGAATGTCAGAAAACACATATCTGTGTCCTAAGACACCATTAATTCGGATTAAATACCGCTGGTGTAACTAGTAACCAATTCTCAGTCGAGGACAGTAAAATATCCCATAAATCGAAGAACCACGTCTCCGACTACAGAGTTCATTGCTTAATAGTTTTTGAAATTCGGGTGTGTGTTGAGGTAGGATATATCGCTCTGGAGTGTTTTTTATCAACAGACTTATGACCATGGGTAAAATTAAGTATAACTTTAGATATAATAGCAGGTGAAATCTTCACATGTTCGTAAATACTGCTTGCGTTTCCGTCGGTAAATCTACCTTAGTTTCCTTGTATTATTGTTTTTTATTACAAAATAAATTCGAGGGGGATTGAGTGAGTTCCCACAAATGCTGCCACGAAGTTCAATCTGAAGCACATGGAACAGCATTCTGCAGTAAAACCTTTGTTCCCGTTTATTTGTTTTGGATATTAGCCCATTAGATCGATTTGAAAACTACAAATGTGCATTGCAAATTACGTATTGTTAACTTGACTGGAATCTTAACTTTCTGGGCGGAGTTATCACTTGCCCTGTGGGAAATAAGGGTTCTTTATATTACCATTTCGCAAATAAGTTATCTTTACTTGTAGCTCCTTTGGAGCAGTTTATTTTAATCTCAATCAGTGTGTAAGAAAAAGAACCAGATGCACGCTACTTCGCTCCAATTGGAAACCACCTTGCGTCTTGGATCTGTCATGTCGCACACGCGCACTCATTTCCACGGTGGACTGGTGCATGTGCCGTTTTGATTCGGCGCGCCGGGTGACTCAACTTGGTGGCCTTAGAATGAAATACGACGGTGCAGTGGTCTGCGTCGTTCGTGTCTCAGTGAACATGGTTTATGCTGTTTTATTAGTGCCGACGCACACATATGGACTCCCCGTAATTGGCTGCGGTCGGATACAGACCAATTAAACCAACAAACCGAATATTTATGCCGGCCTGTCTTAAATTAATCTAAACCTGATAAGAGGTATCATAAACTGATATGGGCAGCGGAGGAAACTGCGTTTTGGTTTAAATGGTTCAAGTAGAAAACGTATAACTTATGCTTGCAGTCGTAGTGTTGTGAACGGCTTTGTCAAAGCTAGAATCACACATCCACTCGACGCAAATGCGACTTCGATGTTGGCGGTTACTTCTCATTACTAGAATTGTACTTATTGTGCGTGCTACTTCGCGAGTTTTGTGTTTCCAACGCAATGCAAAACAGTGTCGTAAACACCGACCCGCGACCATCTACGTCGATGTATTGTCAAAATTTCAAGGACAAAATCCACTCTGAGCCGTAGATGTTAGTTTGTAGTTTCCAAAATGCCATCTAGGCTCTTAATGCTCTTGATAAGCTGTTTCATTTTCACAAATGCAGTATGCCTTGTTGTCTGTGTCTTAATTAGCAAAATAACCTAAATATAACATATCTACACGACTAAATTGCGGAATTCGGGAGTTCCGTTACTCCGAATTCTAACGGATATCTCAGTGCAGCTTAAAACGCTTTCAGCATCCTAAAGCCACAAACCGAGAAAGTAAAGCATGCGACGCTGTTTGTCATTGTACTTTTAGCACCTGCGTTCAGAGAAATTAGGCCTTCCTCAGCGAACACTTATGACAGACCAGAGTACGAAAAATTTTATCTTTTCCATACACAGCTGACTGCATCAAGTAGAGCCCAGGTGTAGCAATGTGACAGTCTACAAAGGTGTGAATTTCGCTGTGATCTGAAACTTACAGTAACAAAAACGAACGTTAAAATCAGTGGTCAGCAACACAATCTAAGGTGAATAACCTGGCGTGATTCTGATGGAAGATTTGAAAATGGCAGGCTCTTCAAACCATTTACTCAAATTACTTTTAATTTGTGTGTGATTTTAGGGTTGAACTACGGGGAGCAGCGACAATCCTTGATGTGACCTACACCGCTCACACTGTACCCGAGCTGGAAGAAACCTGGGCGCAGCGCATTGCTGAGCTTCAGGTGGAATTGCGTCAGTGTCATCGCCAGATCGAGTCGCTGACAGGCCGCTTGGCACGACTGGAGAAGCAGCGCACCGTCCTGGACACATTCGCCGACGGAATGACCAAAAAGACGGAGGAGGAGGTGTTTGCAGCAGCCCTACCTCCACCTGCACCTTTGCCACCGCAGCAATTTGACAAGAAACACGAAAAACACAGCAAGAAATCAATGCCCATTCAGGAAGATAACTTGGGATTGACGAAAAGGTCTCCCTCTGAGGTAGGGTTCTAAAAGTTGCATCTTTTTTTTCCATTTTTTTCTTTTGGTACTCTTTTCCCGCTACTTCCGATTCTCCCCCGACATTTTTTATTCCTCCATATTTTTTCGCCTTCGAGTGGAACAATTTCAGCGTACTTATTAGCTCAGAACATCACGGATGACTTTAATAAGCGAATAATTTCACGACATTTACTCGTAATAATCACCATCGAAGTGATCATGCCTTTGTCGTAGGAATTCGCTATTTCTGGTCAGGGTATCCTACTTCATCGCTTCGATAGACTGTTTGGTAACATAAAAAGCCGCTGCAAAAGCCAGAACAAAATACATGTCATGTTCTTCTACTGAGCACACTAGTCTAATCCTTTCATAAAAATGCTGACTCAAATATTTTTTTTCTATTTTATTTAATTTACTGCATTTTCATGCACACAACTTGAAATTTGACTGTCTGGCTATTGCAGGACCTATGGCGATTATCATGTCACCGCGTCTATATTAACCGAGCCAGTTAAGACCCAAACTAACCGGCATTTAAAACTCATGACTTCGATATATATGTCCAAAGAGAAACGTTAGCCACTGTTTATGTGCAATCGTGACCGTAAAAACACAAGGAATTTGTTTAAACGAGCATGCGTGGATGAATGAATGTGTGGCGTTTACCTGCACACCACACCAAGAAAAACTACTGTTGATATTCACTTGAGTAAAACTAAGCCAGCCATAAGGTCGCCATGGAATTAGTTTACCTAGTTGCTACGCCTTGTTACTGGAATTATTCAGAGAATGCATCACTAATCACTGCTGGCAGCACAGTTTTAGTGTTAGCATATTAACTTTACGATTATGATCCGTTTGTTCTAAAACCCGTTTATGCAGAACCCAGGTACGTCTCCAACTCCGTCACTTAGGCTGGTTAGTTAGTGAAATGATTTTGAACAGGGAAGGTTTGCCTACAATGTGAAGGAATTAACTTAATTATTAATAATTTCATACAACGACGTTACCGTCTGTCGATCTCAATTTTTAAGTAATATCTTGAAAGAATAGCGAGGCAAATGGCCAAAGCAGACACTTTGTTGCAATATACCCCAATTTGTACACAGGTGTAGGTTACGACTAGCAGCCTTTAGCAATCGCATTAAAGTCCCAAAACCCAAAAATGGAATTTATAGATGGGTGACCCGTAGCGCTGCACTCAGCTGTTAGATAAAATCGTGACAACAGGAAAACAGTTGATTCTCATCCGTTAACCTTTTCTCGATGAAAAGGCAGCACACAGCTTCCATCATTTGAACCTAGGAACAAATTCCATTTACCATACTGTAATTACGAAGACATGGAAAGAAGTGTTGTCACGCTGTGAAATGGGAGGGCCCGGTGCAGAAGGAATAGCTCCCACCAACCATGAAATGTCACAGTTAATAGCATTTTGTTCGGTAGATTCTAGTGCTACCATGCAACAATGACTGTGCATACTAATGAAAGGCAGTTGCTAAGTAACCAGGTCAGCTTATTAAAAAGCAATCATTTTCTTGTTCTTGCCAGCGTTTGGCGATTTTAAGGAAAAATCAGTGGCTCTGATTGGGGTAAGACCAATTAACCTTGCTGATGCATGTCAGCGCAATCTCGTGGTAGAAAAAGCGGCTTAAACTGTTTCCTTTCCTTGCATGTACATACTTTAGACGGCACAGTTCCGGCGTGAGGGTAGGAAAGGTAATTTGTCTGCCTGTTGCTTACGATTACCCATTGATCACCGGACGATGCAGTCGGCAGTAGTACGAGATTATGCGAAGAAACAAACCATTTTCGACTGTGTAAATGTCATGCCTGCATTCGATAATAGTCGGGAATAGGCGGATTTGTACATAGCTGAAAAATTAAACCAGCATAGAAATGAAGTGAAATATTTAGTTTGCTGAAATCAGACAGGGGTACCAAAACTACTATAAGAATTTGTTCAACGGAGGCCTATAATACCTTTTAATATCTACCTTGGCAAAATCCAATTTTTTTACTTTAGTTACATAGAAATGCCGGGGGTATTTTGCACAGCGGTAAGTAGCATTTACCTTGAACATCAAGGTAGGCACTACTAGGACCACAAATATTAATTTGTTAGCCTAGTAATTAATTGCTAATTTACTTTTCGTTGTTAATAAGAAAAAAGCCCGTGCTTTAAATTACCGCGACTCTGGCTAAAACATTTACAACCATATTTACACTTGTGGCTTTGTGTAATGTGAAATCAATTGCATTGACCCCACAACCTCCATTCATTTCAAACAACTCGCTATTTGACTGTGAAGATGACCATTCGGCTGCAGTCAGCGAGTGACTGAAGCACGACCTTTGCTCCGCACAACCTACATGCATTCAGACTGGTGTAATGTAAATATGGCGTGGAACATAAGTGTGCGACACCAGTACACATGCAACGTAAACTATTTTTAACTGGAGACTTTTCACACAATAATGCTAAATCAACAACACACCATGACTATCAAATCATTACCCATCTACAAGGCAGTTTCCTAATTTATCTACCTTGAGATTTGGATCGAATACGCCATTTCCAAACCACTAGACTTAACAGACGGCAACATGGTCACCTGGTAAATAACGTGTGTGTTTGTATGGGCAAGTGTCTACGTTTTCGAGGACATGACCTTATTACTAAGTTTGACGAAGCGAACCATGAGTACTGCCAACGAGACGACGCTACTTACGCTAACCACCAACAATTTTCACTTATCTAGTATGCTGTTAAACATTTGTTTTAATGACAAATGCGATTTCGACTGTGCATATTTAACGTCATTTAAATGTTGGGAAAAAGATATGCCTACTTTAGTCGACTCATCCCGTTCCACATAAAGATGAAATTTCAAATGGTTGGGGTAAATTAGGCCACATACTCCGAACCTGCAGTCTGCACCTTTCAAAATGCTATCCATGTTCTCTTAATTTTCCACATCACCATGAAGCTTGGACTCATGTTGCCCGTGACAAGTCGCTCCAGTTGAAGTGAGCGACAAGTGACTTGCTGATGAAACATTTGGAGTGCACTTGGTGATTTTCAAGCCATTTAAGTAAATCTGGAATGAAAACGCTGACTAGTGGCGGGCTGTCCATCATTGCAGCGCTTTAAGATTTCAGATGTAAGTGAATCCATGTTGAAACGATCACATATCACACGTCCCATATATCATGATCCCGTCAATAGCGTTCCACCTCACCAACATGACGGCAATTTCCCGCAACTGCTACATAATGCACTAAATCGAGTCAAAATAACACCAATTTCGCATAAAAAGTCTGTCGAGCTTTAACATCTCTTGATGAATAAGCGTAAATGTTACTGCACAATTCAGACTTGTACATTTTGTATTCACTAGCTGTTAGGAAGTCACGTAAATGTATGCCAAATGTACAGTCTTCTTCAAAAATGCGTTTTTTCGAAAAAGATTTTCGACTTGAATCTGACTAGAAACCAGTTATATGAAAGAAACACCTGGAGCACAGATAAAGCCAAAAATAAGTATTGTTCATTTGTTAAAAACGCCAATTTGTTTTACATTTATGTACTGCACTATTGGTCCACGCCAAAATCTAGAGCACGCAATAATGAGGAATTTTAAGTCTGTCGCTGTTAAATGCAACTAACATGTTTACTACATCACACTTCGAGGGTACCACGTTTATCATTGTGTGCAGCCGGTCAAGTCTCGTAAAAGCACACCGACTGGATTTCAAAGGAAATTCGCATTCCAATCTTAGAACTGGTGTGCAAATAACCGCGGTCCATTACGACTACAGTTGGCTTTGAAAACCTGCCTACTTGTTCTATCTACAGCCCACTGCTTACGACTTAGTCCAGAAAACACAAAACTGTATCTTAAGTCCGCTGGAAGTTTTCGTGTTGTTTTTCACTTGTAGTTGAATAACCAGGCCAACCCATATGATCCGACTCACATGGACACCCTTCAGCGTTTCCTCACGATGTATGAGGACCAAGCTGAACGACTGGACAACAATCTCTTCACCTCCAAGGAGGAACTCGATCGTACTCGCGACCGCGCCGAACAGATTGAAAAAGAGTTGTCTATCTTGGAGAAACGCCAGGAAGATAACTTGGTCAGGTGAGATTTTGCTTCGCTGGTACAAAAAAGTCCTGAGTATTCCTTACTTGTTCTACTTAGGTTTCGCCTCAGCAAACCAATGAATGAACATTTAAGTAGTGTTTTTCCCATTCTTTCATTAGCCTGTTTCTGTAAGAATATTCACTAAACAAAAGGCAACCAACAATTAGGAAGCACCAAGTTTTAATTAATTCACATGTCACAGCAATTTGTACAAAAGGTTTTTTTTCAGTCTTCGATTTTGGATATCAGCTCACGCTATAAACACAACTTAATATTCTAAAATTTCAATGGTTCAGCGGCTGTATAGTATCTACAAGGTGATCAGCCAACACCATACTGCGCCGATTAATCATCGAAACTGCACTAGTACATGCGGCCTCGGAGGTTTGGCACGGTCTGACGAGACACGTACGCATTACAACGCTTAGAATAAAGAATGCGGTCAATCGCCTGACTGCAAAAGTAGATTAAGGTAGACCAAAAGTACTTTGAAGGGGTTTACGCGAATGTTGTGGCCATAGAATTATGGCCTTCCTAAAGGAGTCAATTTCGTAGGATTTAAGTGGAAAATAAAACATGTAATATGAAAAATCAAAGCCTGAATTCCGCCTAGGAATCTTAGTGAGTTTGTTATGGGCCCCAGCATGTGGTCTTGAGCCACGTCGGGGCCAAGGAATCATCCCTGGCCTGATTACGTTTCCCTGATATCCACGATGAAGAAAAAGATCGGAATAGGGCGTGGACACAACCGTTTATTTCCGAGCTCAGCCACGTTGGTGTCGTTGTGTCGTGTGTGGCATATGCACGTGTGTATTTATACCTTGGATGAGTGAGTCTTACATGCGCTAACATCAAGACCTAGGTGTGAGGATAATCCAGATATCCGTGTGAATGAGGTGAAAGTTGAGGATCCGCGCGGCTGGCGACATGCTGTGAAAAGGGGGACCCTGTGTCGGAGGTGGAGCGACCGGATTAAAGGGTGTGAATAAACACGATTCACAAGTGGTTATTGCCAATCTCTGTAACACACTGGCCTATTTCTGTACAATCTCTGAATGTTCTCAGGCAATTTCGATGAAGCTTGGTTCTGTTCTCTTTTTCTTTATTTACAACATTAAATTAAGAGTTAAACTAACTAACACGATCCCCAGGCAGTATTTTCATGGTTGGTTTGTGTTAATGAATGGACAACTGACCTTACCAGCCCCAAATGTGTCTCAATCTCGATTGTTGGCATGCTAAGGTGGTTAATTTTATGAACTCACTGTATCAACGAATCATGTATTGTGATTGGCCATTACAATTACCTTTTGGTGCACCATTTTATACATAACAAGACATGAAGATGATACTCATTTGAGCAGGCTTTTGATTAAATACCAATTTCATACCGTAATAGCAGTGTTTTCAAGATGTGACTGTATTAATATGGAGAATGTTTGTGTTCATTTAGACGAAACTTGTGCAAATTGGGAATCCGAAAATGGTTACGTTCTGAAACCATATTTTCGCAGAGCTTTTGTATGTAGTAGCAGAAGACTGAGAAAATCGTGGTCTAATTAAATTCTGTGCATGCTGATCATTAGTTAGATCACCCTGTGTCCATATACACATTTTTCATCAATTTCGCTTTTGAAACATCACCAATTATGATTTAAACTTTCTGTAGATAGACAATAGGCAGACACAAGACTCTAGTGTTACGAAGTTTCCTTATGTTTTACTTCCATATTTGTAATGCCCATACACAATTGTAAATTAAAATGACTCAACGAACACGGACTAGCTTGTCCGATTGGCAGACTGAACCTAAGTCAGTGATAGGTACTAGAAAAGGCTTGTTAGTTTGCAAATGACAACAATTTGAAAGATTTTGGTTAGAAAATTAGAAAAAAAGTTATATTAACGAAACCAAGGCGGAAGTGGTATTATGAATTTATTTTTTCCTTTCAGAGAAATCAGCGTTCTCATTGAGCCTCGCGAAGATGGTCCGGTTGACATGTTGATCACATACGTCGTTGGCCGCTGCCAGTGGAAACCAGCTTATGATATACGCCTTTTCAACAGCGACGGATCTATGAAGGTACGGGGCTGAAGAATTTCTGATTTTAACTAGTCCGTAGAATACTATTTAATAATGCAGATAAAATTTTCATAGATTAACCTATAAACCATGAGAATGCAGTCAAGATCCGAACTAGGTGCTTTTGCGGACAACATGAGTTTGCGTGCGTGACTAGAAAACCACCAAAGTCACATATTTCAACGGTCGTTTTGTCGAATTCACGTCTCGTCCTTGTGTTTTGACCTTGACCCTCACTAGCTACCCAGCAATGCGAACAAGCACACCTCAAAGTACCTGCCATGGCAACCATATTGAATGCCTGTCGATTGTTAGAATTTAGTTAATAGTGCGCGGCAATGACTGAACGCTTCAGTAAAAGGCTTTCGCAGGCATCGACACCTATTCGCCTCTTCTCCATCCAAGTAGTAAACAACACGATTAGCTTATGCAATCTGAGAGGCGTTTCTGTTGAATGGGTTAGAGGCCTGGCGCGATGTTATATAAGTAATCTCTACCAGCATCTCTTATTATTAAACTAGGAGCAAATCGGCGTGAGGATACCGTAATGTTTTGAAAGAAGACTTAAATAACGCGAGAATAAGGAGTTGATACCGCAAACTCCGAGTTAATGCAATACGAAAATAATGGATAAATCACTTGTATAAGCATTGAGGAGGTCAGTTTGAATGAGCCTTTATTGTTAGCGCAGCAATTCAATCACCTCATACGAGGTACCGTAAAAAACTGGGAAGGTTGGTTGGGGCTGCCAGAGTGCTGTACAAGCAACAATTTATGCAATTGGGCTTACCTCTGCAGAAAAATTTTGCGGCCCTGCGGCGTGTTAAGTTCTCACGATTAAAGTTCTTCGACGATTTCTACAAACGTGTAGTTTTGTCCTGTGCAGCGGAGTAATTAGTTTTGCGGTTTGATTACCTGGTAAAGCTAATTTACTTGACTAATATCAAGATACGCGTTTCTCAAAATTCCTTATTCCAATGGTTCCCGAAAACATTTGACATTTGTTTAAATCTGTTTCAAACTCTTATCCAAATCCACTACATAACAGAAAAATCCCAAAGAACTTCATACATTTCAAATTTTTGCAAAGCTGAGCGGAAATATGAAACCATTTTAATACATTTGGGGAATCCGTGGTCGATAACTTCACTTCAATCATTTTTAATCAGATCATCTACTATGGCTTGGTGCAGCAGTCAACCGGAGAAGACTGGGAACCCAGACGAATGACTCTGTCAACCGCTCAACCAAGCTCTGAAGGACTTTGTCCTACTCTTGGTCTGCAACGTTTGCACTATAAACAGACGTAAGTTATGTTTTTTTGTAGCGCCCGCCTTCATCAATAGTAGCAGTCAGTTGTGAAATGTAGTAGGACACATAGCCTAAGGACATCTAAAGCTTCTCTTAACTCCCTGCCTTAGTTAAAATCGATTGTTTTCGGATATTGAGATAAACGTAGGAAGTAGGACGATTGCTGGTTAGAGGTAGCGTGAGGGCGTCACCAAAGGAAGGATGCTCCTAAGGCCGTCGGAGCTGCATGATCAAAAGGTATGCGGAGAAACACGCTATGCATTGCACACAATTCATGTGCTGCTTATTGTGCTAACCTTTCCATCTTCTTCTAACGCCGTTTGCTGACCCAATTCCCTTTATCACCTAACCTCTGAAGAATTCATCATCCACTATCTATCACTATCTATCAAATCGCTTACCCATAACCCAGTAGTATAGAATTGCAGAAACCAATCTCTTATTCACAGACGACCCTTTTATGTAAAAAAGTATTTCTTGAAAGGAACTAAGCAGCAGCCAACTGAGACTCCCATATAAGTGGTCATGGTTAAGCGTTTAAGATAAGATTGACTTTCATTAACCGAGCTATGTTTCGCTCAATGCGCCATCGAGTTGCTGTTGGATCATGTTGGACGGGAGATGTGTCCCAATACAATACACGATTCATTACCGTCATCTTTACCGACTAATTTTGTGGCGATCAGCTCGCGGACATTTTTATCAAGCATGAGCGAACGCAGTGTCAATTGATTATCTTGAACTTACCTCACCCAATAATTTTCGTTCAGTGAGCGAATGTCAAGCGTTCCTATAAAATCTGGCGTTTTTTCATGCTGTGCAATAAATCCGTTGGGTCCCGTGATGTCTACGGTCTTCTCCTTTCCTGGTCGGGGCGCGTCACTGCCGGTTGTCGGCCTCGGTGATATTTGAGAGCCACCCCAGGGCTGCTATAGGTCGCTCTTCTCATCTTAATATAGCCTACAAAACTGCCCTCTTACAGTCAGCCACTTGGTGCCGTGTTTGTCACATATTGACACACTTTGGAGTCTGGTACTATATTAGCACGGTGTCGTGAATAGCAATTGCTAAAGGACTTCCAATGAATTCTCAAACAGCCAGAAATTCCTCGCAATGTCAGCACCAGCGGATCTGGCATAACTGGACTTGATACACAGGACCAATCTAAACTGTCTCATTCATTCTTTAAATGCAACACAGAACCAATAATCAATGGATGGTTTTTTTTCAAATCTGTCAAGTAAACGAACAACCAAATGTAATTCAAAAAGCGCTTATGAAACACATGAGTTCTATTGGCGCCTAGGTACATGGGGTACCACGCTCCATGTCTCAATTTCATGCGCTAATCCACCTGCTAATTTACAAGTAGATTCAAGCTTATTTTTTGCACCTGCTAATATATACATATGCAGATCTTGACACCTGAATCATTACGACGCAGAGTACAATGCACTTTTTAAACACACCACTATCGCTAAGGTCTTAGTGCTAACTAAACTTTGGACGAGATAAAATGGCATCGCTTGAATTGCACTAAGTACGCTTGGAGTTAAATTAAAGAGCAGATACAGATATAGGATACATCAGTTTTTAGGACAATTTTTCGTAATATTTGTCTTACTCAAAAGCCCCCTAAAATGTGTTTGGACATGTTTAAAGCTATGTTAATGCCTCTGAAATGTGGAGTGCAAAACCAATGCATAGATTGTAGATGGAATCACCTCAAAGTGAAGAGAAGAAGCGCCAAAACTGAATAGTTGATGTCGATTGTGGCATTTACCGAGGGCAAGCTAACTTGCCTAAACTCATGTGTGCTTCTTTTAGTGCAGTTCCTAACCCTGCATGCTAACTATCACTGCTTGCTCTAACTCTTAACCAATCAGACTCCCCCAACTGACCGCGTCGCCATCATGCACATCATCCTCATCTTCTTCATCCCGCCCTCCCCGCCCCACATCTGCGGCTTCGCGCAACAAACCATCCAGATCACTCGTCCAGCATCAGCACTCGTTCGTCTATGAGAACGGCCCTCACGCACCTGAGGTGAGGTATACAAGAGTTCGTCTGAAGGCCGTCCTGGAAAGGTTTCAGCTTTTTGGTTAAATTGGAGCAGAGTTTGCTCTACTCAGCGGGTCTCTTTGGAATGAGTGATTACATCTTCTGACCTATGGGGATTTAGTAAAACCTATTCACGAAGTGGGCCGGCTGATTAAGGGAACAATTTGTGATCGGTTGATGCGGTTTATTTTAACACGACACTTGTGATATTCGGGTAGTTACAAGTAAATTTGCGGTGTCACAACCTGCATTATCAAAAATGGTACTTCTCACCTCCTAAACAGCGAAGCTTCACTTCGAAGACAGCAGGAGTTGGCTTTCATGCGCAGTTCTGGTAAAAAGAAGCGGGATCGGGAGCCCATGGATTCTCAGAAGGCCCCACCTTCCATTTACGAGCCCGTCTACCAGCGTCCTGTTACGTACATTCCGCAGGAAGACTTGGCCATTCTTGGAAACTACCTGGTTGCCACGCTTCCACGATCCAGACCGCTGTCGATTGCCGGTGAAAATCCGCGACTTCGACGATCGTATTCGCGGTCGCGCACATCCTATCTCGAGGAGGTTTGCAACCAAAAACACGCAAAATATGACTAACTTCGTGACTATTAATAGTCGACTCAGCCATAATCAAAGTGTTTGGGCTTCTATTGCAATAAAACTAGAACTGTTTAAGCCATCAATCACTGGCAAGTTCTAATATTTCATGCATGACTACATTCAAGTGATTATAAGTATCTCATTTCCAATTTATAAAACAGAATATAGTTGCAATTTGTTTTGCGTCCATGATTTTATCTGCTCCGATTAGGCCTTAATCTGTATATAGAATTTTAAATGTTTCAGAAGCGTACCGATTGATTACGCTTAGCATAACATACTCGGTTTTGTCATGATAAGCATGTATTAGTTATATACTGAAAGTCTAATAGAGATAATGCAACACCGAGTTTTGTTCCTTTTCTAGTCGCCCCGCACATTGTCAACACCAATTGGGACACTTCAGCGTGGCGCCAGTTCTTCCGAGGTTGGAATGGCAACCCTTCGTGGAACTTCCATCAGCCGCACTGCCTCGCGTCAGGCCCTGGGTACCAGCCTTCTCTTGAACGCCGCACCCCCCAGCGAGATGGAACAGCCAGTAGCCAAGCCGCCTCCGGGCCCGGCTGTTGCCACGGTGGTCTTTGAAGTGCCACGGCCGCCAGCTGTGGTGCCCTGCAACACCGAGGAGGTTCGTGTCACCGTGGGTCTGATCGATCTCCAGCCCACCTACGACTATGTTACTGTTCCAAAACGATCGCTGTCAGCTTTCCTGAAGGCTCACGTCAAGAATACCAGTAACTTCTACATCTTGCCAGGACAAACAAATATTTACTCCGACAACACTTTCATTGGCAAGGTGAGAATTTGAAAGCTTTTAAGACAATCCAAATAGTGAATACTTTAACAAGCATTTGAGAAGTAATGTCATTCAATACGTAAATATTCCCAGAAGTATAAAAAACGAGTATTTCTTAGATCAAATCATAACTGTATATAAAAAGTAGTTGGTGTATAACCACATAATTTGGTAGTGACTGAATTCATGGAGGCGAAAGATTAAAATCTATGGAAATTGCTGAATTGCATTCAATGAAAGTGTTGCTATTTGTTTGGTTGGGGAGGTTGCAGATGAGTAGGTTTTCGCAGTCCCCTTTCACGTGGTCAAGCAATAACTGCGGAGAAGTGCTGTGATCAACTCACCCAGCTCAATGCTGACATCCTAGCAAACAATCTTTAAGAATTACAATGCTAGACCTCTTGTCACTCAACAGGCACTTCAAAACGTAGGGCGTTACAATGTGAAGTCCTTCAAGGGCACTCGTCGTATTCCCCGGAAATTGTTTTTTGCCTGATTTCCATCTGTTTCGTTCTCTTCAAAGCACTACAAATGACAGGAAATTAACTATTAAAAGAATCTTACAGTATCTTACAGTTTTCTGCAAGACTCCAAAACTTTTTAGCTTGGTGGGACAGTTGTAGAAGACAATGGGACATGTATTAATAACTAATAGGTACTGTTTTCTTCTAAAATGTTTTAAGCTTAATTATTTCTTGAATTAGCCACGAACCTTTGTAATCACCTACTGTTAGCGAGAATAGGAACTGACTTATCATGGTCGGAAATTTGTAACAGTTTATCAAGTTTGGTTGATTCCGGCAGCCACGAGGCAAAAAAAGCATATTTTTAAAAATTGATCATTTTATTCTAATAACTACCCAGACCTGCCACTCTTTGAGCCAAAGCTACATCTATTTCTACTGGCAAGCGTCGAAGTCCACGAAATATAGGAACACAAACACTATGTTCAGTAGAGAGATAAGTAGATGAGTTTGATCTGATGGAATGTGATGAGATTTTCACACACTTTTCCTTCATGTCTGTTGCTGTGAGGAGTACTCATTGTTTGTAGTATTTAACACTAACAAAGGGGTGATAGGCAATGTTACCGGAAGACCACAGATCCTCGACTAAGGCCAGCACAAGTTGCCTTTTTCACAAAGTTGTTAATGTTTTAAGAATCAACACTGCTAGAGTTGCCTAGCTGATGACCCCTTTTCAGGTAACCGTTGTGTTTATAAATAGCCATAATCTTGGTCAAATATTTTAACGCGGTATTTACCTGTCACCTTATCGTATCGTGTGCCTAACGACTCCGAAAAGAGGCTTTATTGTCGTTATAACCCTAAAACCAGCAAGGTAATCATACCACGTAGATATGCAGTTTGCAGGGTGACGAGAAAGGTGAAATGAACAAGTTCCCAAATTCTGTGCCTCTTAAGCAATTTTTCATTCACTTTAGTCGGAACTTGGTGCAGTTGCCCCAGGAGAGGATTTGACTTGTGATCTCGGCGCGGAGTCGGGTATTGAGGTGGCTTACCGACCGATGTTCAAGTCAAAGGAGAACGCCTCGGGGCAGAAGGTGTCTGTGAGCTTCAAGCAGGTCATCGATGTCCGCAACACCTTCCAGCGACCGGTTCGTGTCATGGTCGTTGATCAACTGCCATCTAGTGGTGAAGATAAGATTAAGGTCAGTTGTTTGTCTCATTTTTCATTACTTGCACTTAAGTAGTCCATAATTTGAACTGCCTCAGCTTTGTTTCTAGTCTTGGGTTGTCGAATTTCCCTTCAGCTTGTATTTATGTCATTTTATGATCTCAGCACGACAAGTGCTGCCCATAATATTCTGAAGAACATATCGCATTCATTTCCTGATTGTAATTAGTTCAAAACACATTAGTTTAAACTGGTATCAGCCACCAAAGCGAAATACGACGCCACTTTTGGAAATGATCCTACGCCATTGCTGTCACGTTGCTTTGTCAATTCTTTTTATTGAACAGATTAGTGTGTTAAAGTGCTTCCTTGAAATAATAATACCTTATTATTATCGTTTCTGTATTCACATTTTGCCTACACAGGTGAATCTCATTGAACCGAACATTAAAAATCCGGATAAATACGACAAGAAGAAGCCCATTCGGATGAACAAGAGTCATAACATAGAATGGGATCTTGATCTTCACGCAGGTGAGTTATACGTCTGTTAAGCAAGCTGAATTTACTAAATTCATGCCTTCTTTCCACCCACTTTTGATTTCAAACCTCGTGCCATAAGTTCCATTTGACACATTGTCTCATTGAATGGTACGCTTTCGCATTGCCCACATGCATCCACGTTTCCTGCTCCCGAAGCTAATTGTCAACTATTCGGTTTCCATTGTAAACCTTGCGTTAATTGGTTATATAATTAGTTTCTCACTGCTCAGCCACGCTTCCATGATGGAATGGAGAAAATGCATTGAACTTTAACCCATTGCTAAGCATTTCATGCGCGGAGAAACAGCCATTTGATTATATCTTCGAAGCACTTAAGGCGAACCCCTGATTCCAGACAAAATACTGGTTTTAACGATTACTCTAGGTTATGATAAAGGTGATTAACAATTATGGAAGTGGTGGAATAATTGGTAAAAGCAGCAGTCATGACAAGTTATTGAATAACTGCTTGTATGATGCTCGCTATCCTAAAACCCAAACAGTAAGTCAACCGAAATTTTCATATCACACAGCGTCTACCTAGAGGATACTTTAAGATTTATGTCTGCCATCTTTGTGCATCATTTCGATGTGACAACTGGCGTCTATATTTTTATCGCCATGGTTTGCGAACTTAGAAGTGGTATTGTTTACTTATTCCATGCATTTTACAATCTCATGATAATACAAGTGTCCATCAAAGAATTTTAAATGGTTTCCTCACGGTTATAAGGCAGTCGTGTAATTTGCAAGAACGTAGGTCATCAATTTGTACATACATTTTGAGGGACTAGCACAAAAAATGGCCGCTATGAATTCTTTACCGTCGTGCTTGGGAGTATTCAATATAGCGTAATGAATACTTCTTCAGCAGCCTGAAACAGCATTTTGCATCATCATTTTAGGTGAATCAAAGGAAATTGTGCTTCGTTACACCGTGGAGTATCCAGCCATTGAGGAGTTGGAAGTCAGCGTCGCGGATGCCTAATCACTTTGTGCTGACTACATTGTTCCAACCACGTTTATTTCGTAATTTGACATTTTGATTTCGTCTGAACACATTTCTCCCAGCATCCCCGCTCCACGGCACGAATGTCACCCATGTACGCACCAACCGGATTTTAACGGAGTTATTGATGCGCTTCTGTGTATTTCTAGACCTGTAACCGTCATTTTGCGAATTCTGCCCACCAAACAACACTGAACGTTATGCCACAACTACTGACGATCAATTTCGAACGTGACATTTCGTGCACGCTTGTCGATTTGCACCTTCTCCTCTGTCCAACCCACCCACGCATGCATGCTGTGTACCCACCGTTCTCCGTGGGCCTGGCTATCTACCCACTTGTTCAATAACCTTTCTCTACAATCCGCTTCGTCTCTACATGGAGGCAATTCTGTCAAGGAACCCTTATACTATTGCTTTTGGTAAAATTCTATAGCATCGCATCCATCGAAGAGGTGCATTCTTGAATCCTTAATTTGCCACGCTTCCGAAGTATGTCACATTGGTTCAGTTTTTCGCTTGTAAGCAGATATATAGAAATTTAACAAATTATTCGTTCCTTTTCACGTGGATTGTGTCTTGTGATCGAGTATTGCCACACGGCAGCAAATTTGGTTTCCTGAAAATTTATTTCAGGGTAAAAAATTGATCTCCTAAATGCGTAAAGCACTTTCTATGTGTTCAAATAAATTGGGTGGCCATGGAAATAGGTAAACGTCAAGCAATATATGTAGCTACTTTATCGTGTACACAAACTGATAAAACGGTAAATAATAATGCACCAGTCAGAATTAAGTTAGCCAAAATGAACGTGTCCGCTGACTACCACTTAAACAAATGCCCCTAATACGGTTTTCCCTTGAAACAAACAAAGCAAAAATATCTTCATTAGACTTAAGTAAATGTATCTGTCGTTATAACTTGAAGAAGATCACATAATCTTTAAGAAGTAAACGTCTATCAGCACTTAAACGCTCCATGTTTATTCATTGGGAAAGTTAAAATGCCCAAGTACAAATGTTGCATATTTTTTACTGAGTAAGGAAGTCAGTAAATGCCTCACAGAGTACGTTTCCAATGCACTCCATGGAACCACGAATCCAGGACTGATGCAGGATAAGACTTCTCAACGTAAGTTGAGTCAATGAGACTGTATATTAATTAAGCCAATCAGGTTAAATCAAAATCGATTTTGCATCCTGGTGCAAAAAAACAAACCGAAATTCTATTCTTGACATTTGTTAGGAACTGCCGGAACAATATAAACGTAACGGCACCTATAGGAAATTGCAAAATTTGTAATATAGGCAAAATTTACAAAGTATTTAGACTGACCTGACACCTCAGTATATGTTAACGACAGATTTCTTTGTCACATTTCTTCATGGAATGGATAATCCAGTCAAGTGATAACAACAAAAGATCAAGTGAAAATGGTAGAAGTTAGGTGTGGTGAGAACAATTAGGCTTCTGTTTAATTTTCAGGCGTATGTATCTCAGAAGTTTTAGTAATTCTCTAAGACTTAAATAATCACAACTGGTGGTTATTAGCAGATATCAATTTTTAGTCCATTGCACAGAGCCATAATCTGTACATATGGCGGATCGGATTACTAATTTCAGCCGTGAACTATTGTGGCTTCGCACATTGTTACTGATCTCCAATCAAGTCTATTCAACTAAAAATGATAAAGTTAATGATTGCAATAAGAATTACAATAGAAATTCAATAAGGATTTAATAAATGCTTTGAAAAGGAGACCACAATAAATCGTCACATATCACAACGGGTACAAAGTAAACACTCACAAAGCAAGCAAATGTTTTTTGGATAAAATAATTATGGTACCTTAAAATTTGACTAAAATTTATTCAAAGTTAGAACACTAACAAATTCTGATACTTCAGACGTCATAGATTTCAAAATTATGAAGCAAGTTTGCAATAATATTTTATATTTCTTAAACCCCGGGGTCTATTATAAATCAGAATGCCTCGAATCGAGACACACGCAAGGAATTAGTTTGCCAGCATGATTGCGTAAAGCATCTACGAGAGCACATAAATGAATGTGATCAGGACATTATTAAAATTATACAAACACTTAGTAATTTTTTTCTATCTAAGCTGACGAATTTGCTTCTAAGCTTTGCCATTTAAAAGAAATGAAACATCAAATGGTTTGAAAATCTGAACACATTCTCATGCAAATTTTGATCTAGGGAAGTTTTTTTTCAGTTAAACGGCCTAACCAGTAATTAAAACCATTACATATATTGCATGATTCCTTTCCATCCCATATGTTTGTTTAATTCAATTTGTCCATGACTACGTTCCTTGTGATATTTCAAAAGTCGGACCCGCGTCTTGGTCTTGTAGTATGTATCTCCAAAATTTATATCATGCCATCTTTTTAATAATCTGGTTTTTGGCTTAGTTTCTTTTATGTGGTAAAAAAGACGTTCAAGCATTTATATTTCATGGGTCTTCTTTTCGTCTGCTTTTGTAGTTCTATTTGTGGAATCATTAGCGCTAAACCCGCTGTCATTTGTAGTAACTCCCTTTCGATATTAGAACTAGTTCGAAAAGTTAGTTTGTTGTGTTTTGTTTGGTTAATTATTGATAATCAGGTGCCTGAGTGTGATATGTTTGCAATTTCTTCGGTAAAACTCCTATTTCCCTACGTATTCGCTTTAGCTACGTAGCCAAATGCATCTAAGATATGAAAATTTTGTTTGTCCGTGAATTAGCTGTAAGCAGTAATGCTATATTTTATGGTTCAATCATTTTTAAATTTGGAGTGTAAAATGAAATCACAATCAGAAAGAATACACACATTTTATTACAAAAATCAAGGTAGAAGCAGGTTGACAAAATAACTTAATGGTATTTAATTTTTTTATATGGTCAAATATGTTCTACGGGGATGCTAATCAAGATCCCCATTGGCATTTTTTTGATTTGAATCTGTAAATTTATCTTGCCCTTCAGTGTGGCAGTCACCGTAATTAGTAGACCCACGTAGTTTTGTTAATAACAGTTAGGAATTAATAATAACTTATTTACAATTTGTGGTAGCCATACGACACCAACTATGTGCATTATGCAGTGTGCTAAAATTTTAATTTAACTCGGCAAAGGTAGGAATGCTCAAAATTTTTGTATGCATGCTGAAGTTTAGATAAATTGCTCTCACCGTTTAGTGGTTTATCAGGCCCCTAGGCCAAAGATTAAAAAAGGGCTTCCATTAATTAGATGAAGAAAAATCGGTTACGTGAAAGTGATGTGAGAAATAAAAAACACGATAAGATTTTCAAGTCCAATCGTTAAATTATTTTGTAGTTTTATTTACATAATAATGGCAGACCGTTGATTAACCACTAGTTAATTCCCATTGTATTAGGAAACTAGCTTTTTGATGCATTTTTTATGTCTATGCATAGACTCATTACATGAATTTTTCCAATAAGCGCTTTATTTTAGAGTTGAACAGGTCAGAGTGATAGAGTCACCTCACTTAGCATCTGTTACCTCAACGCTTTCCCCCAATTAGTGTTTATGACAAAGCATTATGTGCACTGAAAATATCTTCCCCTGATTTTTGATTACCAAAATTGATGCAACAAAGGCACTAGAAAACATATTGGAGATCATATATCGTTTTTTAGCTGGGACAAAGTTAAAATAAAATGAACATAGCTTAATAATCGAATAATAGCTGAGTATAGACGGAAAAAAATTAAATTTTATAAGCTGATTTTGACATTTTAATAGTAGTTTTTAAAGTATGCTCCTGATTTATTTTTAGATCGGGCTTTCTCCCTCTAGTAGGGTTCCTGATGGGTGTTGACTATTATTACCTTCTGGAAGTTACTGCGGGCGCCACCCAGGAGGAGCTTCACAAAGCGTAGTCACTGATTTAGATAACTACTCATCTACCCCCTTTAGATACCGTCGCCTGGCGTTAAGATTCCATCCTTTACGAAACAAGAATAGTAACAAGGACACCTATCAAAACTTTTTATGGATATCAGAGGCCTACGAAGTTCTAATAAATCCGGAGCTGAGAGCCCGATACGATCAATTTGGTGAGGCAGGACTTAAACATGGCGTCCCTGGACTCAACAAGGAACCGGTCAAGTACGTATACCATGGAGATCCTTACAGGACTTTCCAAGATTACTTTGGAGGCTCAAATCCATTTAAAGGTTCAGTGACAGTCTTGTTTATTTATTTAACCAAAACATTATTTGTGTTAATATAAGTATGCTTTGAATTTGCTTACACCAGAATTTACTGAGGAGATGACACGTGAACAAATGGAAAACTTTGGCCGAAAAGACGGCCGAGGGCAACCAAAGAAAGCTGAGCCGACCATCGAAAAACTTCCGTTGACGCTCGAAGAAATCTACAATGGCTGCGTGAAGAAAATGAATGTAAAGTACACAGTAAGTATAAACACATCATGGTAGTTAATTTGTGTAATACCAAAGTGCGATTCATGCAAAAAGCCTCGTGGCTTGCTTCATTTGTCCTGCCAGGCTTTTGACAAGGAGTGTCTGACCACGGAGATTAAAGAAAAGACTCTCACCATGGTGATTCGACCTGGAATCCATGAAGGCTCCTCACTAACATTTAGAGAAGAAGGCAACCAAGGTCCCAATATCATCCCTGGTAAGTACATTCGTACTTCGAGTAAATCAGACATTGGAGCTGACGAACTTCTCTTAAATTTGTGGTCTTTAATTCTGCTCAAGGTGACGTGATATATACCATAACGGCGAAAAAACATGACTACTTTCGGCGTGATGGAATACATCTTAGACACACAGAGAAGGTTCCTGTGGGCCAGGCGCTGTTGGGCTGCGTGGTTGATGTTCCTACATTAGACAAACGCCTCTTACATATACCGATCACGGAAGTAATTAAGTAAGTTGTTACTCCTGTGGTCTTTTAAAAATAATTTACCTGTTTACATTAGGGTTACATAGTAATTGACCCCGTTTTTCCTTAGACAGTTTCAGTTGCTAATGAAGAGGATTCTACACATTAATGTGCTTTGTAGACAAATAGTACATCTGACAACTATTCCTGGTGGCGTTAAGCTGACTTTTCAAGTGTCACTTGCATTTCCCTAAATTGCATTCCCAGAACTATTTCAGAAGTGCATATATCCCTCGTTGTTCCGAATTTTTAATCACCAAAACTGATGTCAGTGAGGCTTGTACACACAAGGAAGCATCTAAAACCAGGCACATGTTTAGGCAAAGCAGCACTTTAAGATTTCTTGGGAACTATGCTTAATTCGTACAGCAGCGTGAACATTCTCTTGCATCGTAAGATAGAAATGGCAAACAGGAAAAAACCACTATATAATTCAAGCTGTCTATAATTGCAGGCCAAATTACGTCAAAGTAGTTAAAGGCGAAGGAATGCCGGATTCCTGCGACCCCAGAGAGAAGGGTGACCTCTATATTGACTTCGATATTGTATTCCCCGACAAGTTAACCACAAAAGAGCGAATTGGCGTTGAAGCTGCTCTCTTCCGCAACGGAGAACCCCTGGAGATCTTAACTTGAAAGGTACAGTTTACTCATTTTCACTTAGTAACCATAAAAACAAATGTCATTTTGACTTACATCAACTAAATTGAAAAGCACGAGTTTTTTACACCGTTCACGTCACTAAACAGAGTGACAATGTTCAAGGATGCATGAAGACTTGAGTATAGTATGGAATACAGCTATATGGACTTTTTGGCATAAAGGACGTCTTTGTGTGTTACAAACTCGACGTATATTTCGTCGCCTTTAAGTTGACCCAAGATCCTGCACTCATACACTAAATTTCATTCCTGCATTTCCTCGTTACCATCGGTGAGTAGAGATATTGGACTGACGTGTACAATATGGCTACCGAAACTTAATCGAAAATTGCTGTCACGGCAAGGCACCACCTCATTTCCAAAATAAGCGACTTTCTCGAATGATGTTAAAACTTAGATCTAATTCCAGCTGTTTAAATAGCATCTGCGGACAACGTGAATAAAACTGTCCCGAAATGAAAAAAAGAATCGTAGTTGGTCAGTAGAACCTCATATTTTTTACTGATCCACTGCAATTTGGACAGTTTGTATTCGAAAACAGAGGCACGATACCCAAGACTGCTGTATGACCTACTTGTGTATGCAGTAAATGCATGAGAACTAGATGAGGAAAGTAATGCTTAGTGTTCAGGCATGGTAGTTCCAAGAAGACTCTAAAAGTCACAAGTTGGAACGCCACTGCATTTGTGAATATTGTCTTTAAAGTTACTATTCTTGTGAATGGCTATTTTAATTTGTAACAAATTGCACTCATAAGCAACCATTTAACCTTGATTGAAATGGCATTGACCGAAATCATGCTGGTGAATTTGCTTGAGGAAAATCACAACGCAGGTCGCAATCGTCCCCTTTTGTGCCGTCCCAACATCTATGCGATGGAAATCCCAATGAACCCTCACCACACTCCACTTTAATCTCAGCAGAGCTTTTTCCATTATCGACGCTACTGTGTTTTCGGCATAAGCCGGAATTAAAAGAAATTCAGAGTTCATTTTGTTTGTGTGAGAAGAGAAATTAAAATGCTTTCATATGCGGGAGTTAGCAGAGAGTGAGAGTTGACGAGGATTTTCAGGTGGCTGCACGAATACAGTTGAGCGTTTTCTCGCTTAATGCAAAGTTATTTACAAAACTGACAAAAGACTTTATACTGCCTGGGGTAGCCTACTTCTGAATAGGATCACAGGCCGTGCAGATGGCGTCACTGTGTTCGAGTTACCTCCACCTAACTGCTAAGTATATTCGGTTAACATGGAGCTAATGATTTCGGAAAGCAAGCGGCATTGATAATTGGACTAAACACGTTCCCATAACGTTTTAGAACCCAACCCAAATTGTGGATGTAGCGTGGAAAAAGAAAAGGACAGCACACGCATCGTTTTGCGTTTACACCACCAGTTTAGCATTTTCCTTTTCCTTTAACAAAAATTGAAGAGAAGGAGCAAACATCCTCCTTCGCACTCCTTTGTAAAAGTGTTGCATCACTTTGCTTTTCAATAAATAATTTCTATCCACTGATCTTGCTTCTAATTTTATTACCCGTTAGCTGCTTTCCGTTTTGAGTATGCAAACGGAACGACTTTAGTACAACAAGAAAATGTAGCATTCAATGGGTCAGTTATTTCATAAGAAACATTTTTTTGTTGGCTCAACTTTGAGAGGCAGAAAGGCAAGAGGCAATCAGCCTTAAAAAGGGCAAATTCGTGGATAAGGGCACGCGTTTTTCCTTCGTAAACCAGACCTCCAGTTGTTTAGAAAACTTTCTGTCACATCTTTAAATATCACTACCAAATTCGAGAGCTGGAAAATACTGCAAGAATTTCATTACGTCAAAGAAAAACGTGTAGTTCTGCCTGAAAGTTAATTTACTTACCAAAGCAAAGCCAAACGGTGTACAATCGCTAAAGAATGCCAGACGCTTACGTGGGTTTCAGAATCTAACGAGACATTCCCCATTGACTGACCTATACCAGTGCAAGAAAGCTAATTGCGTGTTAAGTGAATTTTACTCAGAAAGTTGAGGTCGTGAGAGTAAAATACTTCACCCTGTCCAGTTTGATGTCCCCAACAATTACCTAACAGGCTCCACGACTTCAAAGAAGCAAAATCATTTGGTTGGTATGGTTTTCTTACACCTTCTTTACATAAAACCCGAGATATAAAAATTGAGCAACAAATATATAAATGACAACCACGTTTATTGCTATATATAACGATTCTCCTCGTAAACCAGACCTCCAAAAAATCCCTTCTTACCACCGGCCTAAGCATACACTGATCTAATCAGGCCCAAATGGTCAAAAGCAAATTTTCTTCCTGTAGTTGTCACCAGGGTAAATAATCGAGGTCACACGGCACTAGGAAGTTATAAAGAAGTTTCAACGAGAGACTATCTTTTTTTTTAAATTTAATACTTAAACATTAGTTTAATAAAAGACGTTCTAGATTTAATGCATTGCAAAGTTGCGTGCAGTGATTACTGTACTAAAAGGTTTGCCAAATTGGTTGTCGTTTCATTCTACTACTTTGTTTGAAAAAGGCTCCGAATGGATCGTTTTTATTGGGGAAAAGGCGACCACTAAATATATGTAATTACTTTATGCCTGTTCGAAGGCGATACGTAAATTTCTTAAATTCGAGAGCTTGACCACGACGTTAGAAAAAGGTGAAAATGTGTTCCAAATACCTAAGCCTTAGGTAACGAAGCTAAACTCAGAGTTATGCCTAAAGAATCTTTGGTAATGTTAATTGCTGGTGGAATGGAAGAACAAGCAGTGGCAAAACGTAGTTGGTGAGGTTGGGGTAAAGAAAAACAACGGTATCCATCAGTCCATTGCTCTTACGTTGAATGTACTACACCAGTTTAGTAAAAAACGTGCTAAGGTAGAAATGAAGACCAAGGCTGAAATATTCAACGATTTACTGAACTGGAATTACGACTGCTTAAAAACTGCAGTCGTGAACAAGGAAAGGAATATCTTTTGTTGGCCGAATCACTAAATGCAGGATGACAGATACAAAGAACGTTGTCGGTTAGGCACACAAACGTCAGTTCGGCGATTATGTCCACGGGATTATTGAGTAGTTGGGACACTAGCATCCAGAGTTGGTAGTTGAAATAATGCGAATACTTAAAAGCAAACAGTCAGGTCCCGAGTGTGGAGTCAGGGCTTTAGACTTAACATCCTCAAACTAAGCAAAATCAAAAGTAAATGGGAAATGGAATTTTGCAATTTCTTTAGATTAGGAGACAGAAAAATTTAAATTCTAATCATTAATCAATTTGATAAAAATCCATCAAAAAATACCGGCTCTAAATCCGAAGGGTCTTGTGGTGGACTAATGAGAGGACTAGTGAGCTGGGTGATAATTTGCACTCCGTTCGACGCTCGAGTCGCCTCAACACACAAAAAAAACTTTTTTGACAGTTTTCAACCGTGAAAAAATATTAAGCACCTCTATCATGTTTAAATGATTTTCCAATTTTGGGTTGAATTTGTGATGATTTGTTTGTGATGAGGCAAAGTATGCAAGTCTTCTACGTTTCCTGACTTTCATCAGGTGCTTCATGGTTCAAAAAAGTTGCTTTCGCATCTTTAGTGTGATATCCGCCTTTTCGATATTGTTTTGCCGGAAAAATTTCGGATTCTGGAAATACTAAGCCCGCCTCTTAGATGAAGATAAAGAGTGTTGTCGGGATAGAGGAGGAACAGACACACACAAACACGTGAGTCATGCAATCGCAGAGTTTTTGGCGCATCTGCGCCGCCGCAACTGTGGCAAGACAATTATTCGAAGCCACGTGCAGCCTCCCACTGAAAATTTCACTCTTGGGTGTTAATGACACAACACAGACAGCGCAAATGCCAGATTTGTACAAGGTTATGAGTTAATGTGGGATGTTTGTATGAAAGCTGGGGGCTGATGGTTAAGTCACTCAAGCGGCATTTCAACTCAAAACGCAGGACCAATCTGGAAGTTATTATCTGGCGCCATCTCATGGCCGTGAGAATGGAAAAGGCTTTTCCTGTCATCGCTCCCTTTATAAAACGATCCGTAAGCTACTGAAGTTGAGAATTTTAAACCGACGCTCCGCCGGCTATGTTTTCCAACAGTATAAAATGTTGGGATTGTTACTGTGTTTCTATATTAAGCAAAATTGACAAGTTGACATTAAGTTTACTCGTCTTATCGAATGTGAACGTCGTCAGCAATTGAATGGTTGCATGGATTTGAATTGAAGACACCATTCTTCCAGAGTGACTCTTATTCAAAGAAAATCTAGACTACAGTTAAACTAAATAAAGTAAGTTGAGTTGCTAAGGTTTGCTACCTAAAAATCACCAACTGATTGAAATCCAAACCACTTAGTAATGCTCAATGTTCTCGCAAATGCTTGCAAGCAGCGTGGAAAATTCAGGGAGTAGTTCAAAAGTTACAAATGATTCTGTTTTCACAACAAAGTCAGAACAAACCACACTGCTTTTGGCAATGGAAATGGAGCGTGCGAGGCTTCAACAGGAAGTTGTGTTACTTTTACTATCGGTTTTTGCCTTTTGCTTTTATTCTAGTTGGTCTCTTTGGGAGTGTTGGTACCCACTCGCGGCATCTGTAGCAAGTACACAATATTTCCACAATCCTCGATTACTGCTTAATAATGTTAAATGACAAAATAAATCATTTAGTGGGACCAGACTGTGGCAAAAATATCGAATTTCGATTGCCTGCTCAGAACGCATCTCCAAAACATTTGAGGAAGTACCAAATCAGGATTTGTTTAAATTGCAACGGCTTTTAGTGGAACTCGTAGAAGACATGAAGGGAAACATTTACAAAAGCAACAATACATCAGTACCCGTATTTGAAGCAGACGCATCATGGTAATGGTCCGGAAAACATTAGTAATTTTGGTTAAGGTGAACCATCCAAATGACCTTATTTATCGATAAAGCATAATTTTAAAAAATGCCCCCTGGTTCAAACTTTTTAGGCTTGTCAGCTGCAACGTCATGATAACGAGTTTTTGTAGAAACATTTTTTTGGAAGAATCACCCTTAAATACTGCAATATCTCATTTGGTTAAGTTGTAACCAATTGTTAACAGATCTTATTTTCGTTGTTTATTGACCTTATTCAGGTGAACTCGGCTCACAGATGCGAAGACCTAAAACAAATTAATAAAAATTTGCAAAATTCCAATGTTTAGATCCGCCCATTTATATAAATACGTGAACGATCTTGGTCCGATGATTTGAGTGATTAACATTTAATGACGAATTGTGAGTGCAAACTGCAAAGTTGCAGTCATGTGGACAAAGTAATTAAAAGTCCAAGTGTCTTAATAAAAGTTGTCATGGGGCATGCTGACATCCCCAATTTAGCCCAAGTGAAAAATACATTTGGTTTTTTCTGTGCAGCCAACCACTTCGTCCAAATGTAGATGAGGTTTAAAATAACTCAAATACATTAGTCCACATTCACAGGTAGGTGTAAAAATGGAATGAGCGAGTACCCTGCAGTCTAGATACAAGCCTTGCAAACATTTTAGGGCCTTGCGATTTGTTGGTTTAAGGACTTCAACCCCATTTCGTGTTTAAATCGGTGTATCACTGAAATAAGTTGTTTGTTTATCCTCTGAAACTACCAAATTTGGTATAGTTAACGTACCTTTTCTGCTTTGTTGTCATTATGTGAAATAATCAATTTTCAAATTTTTATATCTAACTTGACGTTGCCCTTTTTAACTGTGCTGCCAAGTTGGCCAGTGCGAAAAACCTGGCTCCCGGTTCGATAGCCAAAGTGTTAGGTTAGATTTTGTTTTGAATTTGAATTTGTACTTTAAGCTTTCACTGGTGCATCTATGTACGCCTGTTCTTACCACTATTTCGTGAACATAGTAGGGTGAACATCACATTGCGTTCTTTTAAATAAATATTGGTAAAATCATATCACCACTAGTTTATCAGGAAATATGATTAAATTGAGTGGCATTGTTCTACGGCACATAAAATTAAAATTTTGAATAAATTTCAGAAATCTAGGACCAGAAGAAATGGATTACCACAGATTTCGACACGGCAATGTAATGACGTGAGTTGGATAAAAGTGGTCGAATGAGATAAATATGTTAAACACAAGCCTACGTGACTTAAATGTATTGGGTCTACTTAATTTGGCCACTGACGTTTTAAACTCCCTTGACTTACATGATTTTGCATTAAAGGAAGCATATTAATCCATGTTTTGCAGTAAATCGGCAAAAACTGTCGTCTTGCTATTAGTAACTGATAAAAGTAATACGAATTTGTGGAAGGTAAATAATGACCTACGGCGGTGTAATAAGAAAAAGTATTGTACAACTGTCTGTATCAAGGATAATTCATATTGGCATTAAACACAAAGCTTTCACATTGTTACGAGCTGTAATTGCTTAAAGTTAACTACTTTCGTGCAAGAAAATTTGCGGGCCGGGGGAAGGAGAAGGGTTTTTAGAACCTCTGCCATTTGGGCGGAAAACTGTCAAGCGAAGCGTTATGTTTGTGATTGGGTACTTAAACACGTGGTTACTTCGTGCGTTGCAAAAATTAGTGTAAATTTAAATTAAAGCCATGTAGAAGGTTGAGGCCTTCAGGGCTGTAGTTTGGAAGGAAGATTTCGGGAGTGAAAATAACTCCAAATTTTCATTAATTGTGCACAAAACGCTTTAGTTTCCCTTTACTCTTCTAAACAGAGGTGATAGTGAAATTAAGACATAATTTCCGTAGCTTTCACTGTTAACATCACTTTGCTAACATCTTCTGTCATAACTTGTTTAACCGACTCGAGTGACACCTGGTCCTTTTTATGTTATTTCCTTGTTATGCATTGGTATACCATTCTGTGATTTAAAAAGGCAGGGAGCTCGTAAAATCCTGAAAACGTGACATATTAAGGTTTTCGATGAAACAAAACCAAACTACAAACACGTGCAGATAAAAGATCGAGCAAATGTCTGTTGATTGGACTTAAATAAGCGTTTCAGGTGAAATTGGAGCTAAGTTCCGATTTTGATTTTAGTGTGGCAAAAAGGCATTTTAGATCTTGTGGCTTCTTCTTAGAAAAAAGTATGCGGGTTGAAATGGCTGAAGTTAGTGCTTGAAGTAAGTTTTACTGCCACCAAACAGATCATAGTCAAAAGAACTAAAATGATGCGAGAAACCAGCTTGATTGATTTGGCCATTTCCAACATTATCATTTTCAGGATTGGAACTTATGGCTTGTCACCGCTAAGGCATATTATTTAATCAAATCACAAAAAATTGAATAACAAAACGCTTTACTGGTTTTATTTTATTACAAATCGGTCTTTTTAGAGCTCCTAGATCTGGGAGAAGCTCCAATAGACGGGTTTCAATAAACTCTACCTTGTTTATTTTTCTCCATAAATCGGAACAGGCGAACCCCGTTTCCGTGTTCTGGTGCACTAAGTCACACATTATTTCAAAGCAGGATAATATTAAGACGACGTAGGACTTCCGTCGTTTTAAGTCAAACTAATCAGTTTGAGTAAAAAACACACTTGGTAGCCAACTTGTTTGAAAACAGGACACTGAAAATGCAGAAACGCCAGGTAGAATCTGTTGCCTTTCTCCATTTTTTTTAACTTTTAATTTCTCCATTATTCGCTGCTATTATCAATAATTCAGGGTAATGACAAAGACCATGGATGATAGAACAGATTGCACTAGTGAACAAGCTTTGGATAATCTACGAGATTCATTGAAATGATACACAAAATCATGAGTGATTGCCCACCTGGGTTGCGTTTTTCTTGATGGTTTCGCTGGACTAAATTTGGCAATAGGGCACTCTTTGAGAAAAATACGATAAAACGCTGTTTAGTCTTAGTGGAGACGGCTGTGTTTTATCCAATTGCGGTAGCTAGACCAATTTTATGCGCACCACTTACCTGGAAACCAAACTCGGTGACTGAATTTATTTGATTTACGGAGTCTTTCCAAGTACATTTAAGATTGCTTAGAGGGCAGAACTTGCAGGTCTTTTGTGCGCGATTGGAAAGTACGTTACAAATGTTACACGTCCACGCCCATCACGCCGTCCACGCCTAACCTCGGTCATTGGCTGATGTATTCTTGTTCTATAATGACCTTTTTTGAAAATTCACCCCTCCTGGTATACTCATGCACCTGCTTTTGCAACCTGACACGGCCAAATTTGACTGGCAAATAATCGCTTTCAGCGGTAAATTACCTTCCTCCTAGGAACGGTGCATCTCATGTAGTTTTATGCTCATTTGAAACATAATTTTGCGATCTGTGGGGCCTGAAAAATGGCTCTTCCTTTTTTCACTCCGATTTCGTGCTTCTTTGGTCGGATTGTGTTATTAACGGCCGGAAAATCACTTGTGTACACAAATGCCGAAACAATCGCGCGCATTCGATTACAACGTTCACATGGAAGGGCTATGAAACCCCATTAACACATACTCGTGAAATGGCCGTTATCTCGTTTAACGCCGGTGCCATTTTCGGCCTGAAGTCAGCTAAAAGCCTAAAATTCGCGTGAATTTAGTCAACCGCCTTATTTATCCAAAGTTTGGGTTTTCGAAATAGAGGCTTTCAATTGATGCAATGATTACTTAGTTACAAAAGCAAAATTAGCCAAACGGACCTTTAAACCGGTCAATCGTCACCCATAGCGTGAAGGCATGAAAGAGTACAGCCAACAATCTAGTGGGAGAATGGCAGGTCTGATCACACTGGTGGTAATTTCTAATTCCGGATCGGAAAAAGCCTTCGCGCACACTTAATATCTGGTTTCACCTTGCTCCTTGAATCAGAATAGATGCCGTGCACTTGCAACCCACCAGAATATGAACAATTTCATGAATAAAAATAGAATCATGATGTACTTTGGAAATTTGCTAATGATAATGATAGCATAGTCACACAGGTAACTAATTTCATACAAGAACAATCTGCGTGAACGAAATTAAGGACTTTGAGAGGTTTTTAACAGAACTCCTTGGCCTTCTGTTTGACACCTTATACGGCATTTGCTGTCTTTTGCGTTTATTACTGTGGCAGTATATACCCGGTTTTATTCAGACATGTTACTCAGTGACGAACGAATGTGCTTTGATTAAGAAAGAGCTTAGCTCTTAAAAATTGTATTTGTCAATATTTGAAATTAAATGAGGCATAAAGCCTGGATTGAGGCAAGGTATGCACTCATTCATCAAAGTCAAACAATAGAAATCTTCTGTGTTTTTTCCCTCGTTTTACCCTCATAAGACTGAACCCTTGGTGAGTGGATGTGATTGTGCAGAGGCTGCATTTCATTGTAAGCCGATGATTGCGGTGGTAACGGAGGCGACGGAATGAGCACGAGGGGGTGACCGCGAGGACAGGTGGGGTGATGGCAATCCACACCACTCCCCAAACCGCTAGAAGACATCACAGGGGAGTCGTGGAGATGGCTTTTAATGGAGTGATTGCTACTATGGACACAGAACGTTTGTGGCGCAGGCCCTGGAAGATGCGTGTGGGACAAACCTCTGTGAAGAGAGTGGTGACGGCACAACGGAGGGTCAACTGTTCCACCGTTTTGGTGTGCTGGAAGGTGAGCCTGACTCCTAGACAGGTGGTGGCAGTGATGGAACGCGGGGGGAGCATCGTCAACGAAGCTCTTGAGAGAAGGAGAACACCTCGTTTTGGTGTTAGCTCCCTTAAATGAACTGTAGACGTTATCAGAGTAGTCCTCGTCGACTGCGATGTTGTCCAAGGGATCATGGATCTTCTTGCGCTTTCTTCGTCGTTCCCGGTACACAACGTAAAGTGTAAGACATGCAAGCAGAACGATTGTCAGTAGAATCCCCATGCCGATGTGAATGTAGCTGTACGCAACACCACCTTCACCTGACAAGTAAGAATTGTTTACAATAAAGCTTACCAACACTCTTGCATTAAATACTTTTAAAGTCTTTCGATTAAAATGTATATCGTCAATAGTTATTTGACAGTAAATAAATGAAAAAGTGTAACCCTACGAAAATTGTAAAGACTTTAGTGTAAGCCTGGAGTTAAGTGTTCTACAAGAAACTAAAAAAAAACCAGGACTAGACCAAATATACGTCTACCATATTTTGGGAGAAGAGCGACCACGATATTAACTTGTGACTGGATCACATTTACAGGAACATCAAAGAGGCTGATTAAAGTTATTTTAATGCGAAGATTTCGATTAAAAAATTCTTTTAAAAAAATTAAGTAACTTTCTGTGTTTTTAAATGAGCGGGTTTCTATATACATTTCCAGATGACTCTTCTTAGTTAATTTGTTTCGGATAGATCATATTAGGTGTAAATAAAGCCAGAAAGAAATTAACATTAATTAATTTTGACAATAAATTTCAGAGCATAGGAGAAATGCAAATGACAAAGAACACATCCGGATAGAGTACCCCTCAAGCAGATAAGTAGTAAGACCAGAGGAAGGAATTAATTAAATTAAGTTGACTAGAGAATAAAATGAATGTCAACATGAATGCTGGGATATTGTCAGAAGTGATAAGATACGTTTTTTTCAATTAATCTCACTAAACAATTTCTACTCATCGGTTCTTTTTACTCAAAGAACATCACTCTCGGTATTAAAACACAAAACGGACAAACTTCATGAGCCATATCGCAAATCCGAGCCATTTGATCCTTATTGAAACTAATAGGCATGCTTTTTTGTCTGGTTGTATTAAAACCTCATGATTTCAGTGCACAATAATCAAAATAGCTCAGTTTATTATCGGTTAACTTTAAAAAAATCTAGTTTTCTTACATATTAATGCAGCCTAAAGTAACATCGTTTGTTTTACTTATTTAACTAACCAACAGAAAACTTTTATCTCTAAAACTTTTTGCGCATAGTTTGACTCAGTATTTTGGTATCGTTGCTCCAATTATCATTGCTTTAATTAATATCACCTGTTACCTTTGATGCAAGGTATATAAAGAAAGGTCATTTTAGGGTGTTGATGAATGTTGTAAAGTCACATTATGGTGGCTTAAAGGTCCGAGAAAGTTTAGTGGAAAACGGGCACCAGTTTTGCCAACAAAAGAACAATTTTTATTGTGCAACTTATCCTTAGGCCCATGACTCAAAAAAATTAAAATGCATATAATGCATGCCTCATCTTTAAGTAATAAACTTGACAATGAATAGTTTTCGGATGAGTTGGTGCTAAATAGCTTAAAAAGCCACTGTCTAGGTAGATTGTCTTCAGAAAATGAACCATTATCAGACGATTTATCCAATTTCACTGGAATTCTTTGTGGTCTTAGTTGAGCAAGAGCTAAGTCAAGCAGCAGGCAACGCATCAGTTTAATGAGTCGCCAACCTAACGCCAACTTTCAGGTAGCAAAAGAGGCAGAAAACATTGGAGACTTGTTTTCTTACAAGCATGAAAGAGGAAGGAACGGAAAAAAATTAACTGGTTTTGTCTGTTTTCATTTGCCGAATAATTAATTCAATCTCAACCTATTTAATTTACAAAAAAAACCTTCAAGCAATGAAAATGCTTATGCATTAACACAGTACTGTGTAGAATAAAAAAATCCATTTTAGCCAAAGGCAGTAAGGACAGTCCAAAACAAAGATCAGTGCCTACAATGATCCAATTCATCCGACTTGTCGGCGAGTGTATTGCCATCTTTTGTGTAGGTGCCGCAGTTTGGAATGCCATTGCATTCAAGCTGTTTTGAAATGCAATGTCTGGAAAACTGGCAAGAAAATCCTGGACATTGACCTGAAAAAAAGTGGAAGATTTTCTCGAAGTTCAAGCCTTTGAGTAATCATTTGATAAAAACAACCAGCCAAAAACAATCATGGCTATAATAAGCATCAGAAATCGAGCATCACGCAGTCAGACGAAACGATTACCGTCAAATTTTTTAATCGAATTTTCAAAGAAAACAGGAAATGGACAGATATGGTGACAATGGCGGGCAATAAAACGCATGTGGTAGATAGGGGCACTAAAATGCCATTAACCCGGATGGACGTGCATATGCTGCCTGATCCGCCTGCACACAATCATTTGGACAGATTTAACCAAGGGACAATTCACGAACTGTTGGATTTATTCAGAAGCGCTCTCTGTGATGAAGCTAGGTACCACGATCATTTTGAAGGTTCAATCTTAAAGCATCAAAATTTTTCATTTGGGTTTATCATTGTTTTGCGCGGATATTTGCGTCCTGTAGAATAAACAGAATATGCGCTTTATTTTCGCCCATTCTTTTAGCAACGAAGACAAAAAAGGAGGGAAACATGAAATAGAAATACGACATCAATCTAAGGCCTTCGTAAGTCATATATAGGACACACTTGTTGCGCACAAAAGTGAAATTGATACAAATGCACAATATTATTGTCACAACCATGCATTGATGGCAGTATTGTGCATTTCCGGTTTCTCGTCTACTCTGTGCACTTTTTCCTACACCCAACTGCGCAGTTAATCGACCACACACTTATTATCTCACCTCTTAATTGACCTCTACTTATTCGAAGGACCAGTACTATCCATTTGAAAGTTTTTGTGTTCATATTGGCAAACTTTATTAATAACTGACACCTTAAGCCCGTAATTTGGGAAGACTCCAGAACTGTCGAAGCAGCGCAGGGCTTTTTTAAAGTGCTTAGGATGCGAAATTAGCAATAACTTTAGATTAACTAAATATTTCATCGTCGCTTAATGATCCGCACACAAATTTTATGACGGTTTTACTGAGTAACTCATGTGGACCATTTCAATTGGTAGATTTAAGTGGTAAATTTAATTGTAGTTGGTAGATTGGCTCTAATTGACAGATTTAATTGCCAGCTCACGTAAATCTGATGAAAGAGCAAGGAAAAATCGCTCCTTTCTAAAGTAAGGCTATTTAACTGTCAATCATTGGGTTCTAACGTGTCTTTGGTAGGAGTTTTAGACAAAAGCGTTTTTCCCCTGAAAATAGGATAATTCTTCAACAATGAGAAAATCACAATCAAAGACTTGGCCACTTGAGCCAATAGGAGGTGTTGTTTTTCGACACGCTTTGAAATAACTGTCCTCGCAAAGTGGTATTCAACGATTTCAATGTCCAAGTATGCAAATGCGTACAAAAGTGAAGAATTTGGGAGGGCTTAAGGGACAGAGAATGCCTAAATTGAGAAAAATTTGCTTTTGTGTCCTTAGACGTTAGTCAAGTGGAAAGCGTCATAGCAGCCTGAAGAGCCGTGGTCACACAGTGCACAAGACCTTCATAAAAATTCATTTCCCTGTCCTTAGACTAGGCCAGACAGTGTTAAATTAAGAGACAACAAATATCTTGAGACTGAAATGACCAATTGAATAGTGTTTATCTTTTAGCAAACACCTGGGAAGCACAGGTAAGTACGAATTCAATTGAAGTAAATTGTTAAAACGAACCAGCAGCATGCGTCATCTGGCGAAAGGCCAACTAGCATTACTAGGTTCAGAACTTACCATTTTCATCAAGTGGGAGCAATTTCGTCCAGGTGAGTTTAAACCCCTTGGCGTCAATGGAGTTGTCAGTTGTCAGCATACTTCGAAGAGAAAAAAAATTATTCAAAGCATTAATAGAGCCGACGCATCTGCGCGTTTTGGCAATGCAACTCATGATCCTGGTGATTTTGTGTGCCATTTGAATTAAATGGAACCAACTTCAGTGTATTTCCATCTGAAATTTTGTAGATCTATTGGCGACATATTTTAACGTCGTTAACAGATGTACTTTTCTATTTCGCTAAACGCGTGCCGATAAGGAGAAACAAAGACTCGAAGCTTTTAATGATTCACCCGAAATTCCAGATCAAAATTATGATAAAGCCTAGATTTTAGCTTACTCCTTCTAAGAGAGCACTTTCCTAAATCTGATAAACCGTAATTTTAAATTGCACTTACTGGCTGTTATAGTCACAAATATCAACGTAGTGGAGAATGACTAAATAATACCACATAAACACCTTGTTTAGTCTATTTTAACAGTATTTTTGCGGGTAACTGACAGATTGATTGCATTCATACAAATCAAGCAAGCCGATTTTTTGAAGTTGTTTTATTCAAAAAGCTATCTTTCAATGGGGGCATAGCAATTGCTGCGTGTAGATGTCGTGTTTCAGAAATAATGGCGTTCGCAACTAACAAGCCTTTTGAGACTTTGCAGTGAATTTTTATCAAGCAAGCGTATTCATGAGCTGACCGAATGTCACTGATTGTCGATTACAGTTGACGTTCGGTAATCTCTCACGCGCTGTGCTATAAAAGACTTGGGTGGTCAAATATAAATAAATCGTCATCAGACTTGCCTTTGTTCTCGGGCTACCACGGACTGTCAACTAGGAGGGTTGTAAGGTAGTGCTAACAATGTTGCTACAGCTTATCGTTTGTGGTATCCTCAGAAAAACAAGCAGAGTACTTTGTTGGGATTAAGCAACTTGTACTAGTTAGCTAGGAGTGAGATGCTGAAGTTGTCTGCAAGTTCTTCCATCAATTTACAGAGGTGTTCAGTAACTCGACGTCCTACTTTAGCGCATCTACTGGCACTAACTGCAATCTATTTAGGCAACTTTATTTCAAAACTACTACAAGTCTACTTCAGGATGCCACTCGCATTTACGAGCTTGTGGGCACACACACAATAGTACAGGCTAATTTAAACCCACATAAATCTACTTGACCAGAAGAACGTTGCCTAGTTAGGCGGTCGTGTTCACAGCTATTAGCCAACTTTGCCAATGTGCGCCATAAAATTATCCAATCGAATCCCTACTGTTACTTTGTAATTTGTTTTGCTTTTTTTCAGACCGGACATAACTTGAATACTAGACACGGCCCCGACAAGTAAAATGCCCCTGGCGTAGAGGGTCTCAAGCTTCATTCACCGCACCGGACAAGTTTGCACGTTCTCAGGTTTTTTATGAATACATAAGGCTGCCTAACTGATGTCTACGGTGTTGAGACAATCCCAGTAATTTTACCTGCCTTAATTTTCAATAAACTTGGCAAGTGGAGGAAAATGATCAGAATCGACAACCTTAATGCTCAATATTTTACTGAATTGATGTGTTCAGACGAATAACAGGATTGGCGTTTGCGCTGAGATTAATCCAATCGAGTGTGGGATCTATGTCCATCTAGTTAATAAGACTCGCACACACTGAAGCGACGATTAATTAAATCCGAACGCAATTTCTATAAAACAGCTATGCTGCAATGATGCATCGGCCAGTTGAAGATCTTCTCTACAAAATTATGTTTTTTTGTCTGTTTCAGTTTTTTTCTATTCTCACAAGAAAAATTAGCATTTCCTAAAAAAATTAATTTTACGATCTTAATATGTTGCTTGTTTCGAGAGCTTGCAGAGGCATGCTACTATCAGTTATCACTATATTTTGTGGAGCATTTTCCGCTAGTTATTGCTGACAAAACTTTCTTTTTTCATAAAAAAAAGACTTAATGTGCTTGGCCTTAGTAAATTTGGTCTTCACGATTCCTTTCAATCTCAGGAACAACAAAAACGAAACTGCCGAGGCTTGAAAATTCAAGCCCGTGTCAACACTGTCCATGGCAAATTACTGCCTGAGTATTTTGCTTTGGGCACAAGAGGAAAATATTGGAGTAATAAAATACGCAGAGGGTGTTATAAATCAGTAGTCTCATGAAAACTGTTTCGATGATGTCGACATGCCTCAAACTGTTAGGATTATTGCATAAACCTGGCACCGGGGTAACTACACTTGATGTACTTCTAATCCACTGAAATTTATTCTTTGTTCTTTAATGCATTTGCTAGTCTACCTACTTTGGATACTTCAGATGCGAATAATTATTCCAAATGATTAGTTTCAAAAGTCCCATGCACGATCTTGTCCACATTGCAAATACGTGAACCCTTGCAAGATACTAACCCCCAGTTCGAGCGTTTTTTTCCTCATAAGATGCATCAGATCAATGGGGCTTAAGCAGACGTGGACCCCAAACAGAAAATCATAAATTAAAAGGGTTCGCATTGGCTAACGCGTTCTAAATCTCTCCGATTAGTTTTGTAAAGGTGTTTATCATGAGGATAAGGTAATACACAGAGGCATTGAAACTGACTCTAGGCAAACGGTCACTTTTACAAATAAGCGCACCATGAATGTGGTCAAGCTGCATAGTTTGGCAAGCCACGTACTCTAGGTTATGAAATGGTTGCCCAAGAAGCACAGGACTAGCCGACATTGCAAAAACAGACTTAACATGCAGTCCATGTTCTCTGATACTTCACGACGAGGGTGTAAATCATAATTACGAACCCTCGACTGCATTCAGACTATTGATAAAGTTAGCGCGTCTATCAACCATCACGTAACTGACTAGACCTTAGTTGAGAAACATAGGACATTTGTGATTTTTAAATTGTATTTACTTAAAGTATAGAATCTTTGTTTAGGAATTGACGGATGCATTAAATCTACGTGGTTTAGGCAGAAGTGGATCATCAAATGGCCCAGCTAATCAAAAAGTGTAAATTAGCCTAACGTGATTTCAAATTACAAAAATCGCAGAATTGATCAGACGTTCTCCTTCCATTAACAATATAAAGATTTTTTTACAGTTGAGAGAGGACATTTCTGTGGTTAAAGGCCTCATTACTATTTGGGTTTTCTGTTTATCACTAAATTCACGACCAGAATGGATCTCAGTAGAAGGTCTCTATATTTGACATTTCCAATCCATTTATCAAAAAAATCTTTTGAGTTAATTGAAAAACGACAGACACCGCTTCTATAAGCAAGCTATTTGTGGCAGAGCTTTTATTTATGGGTTGTAAGGCTACAAAAAGGCACGTCTGATCACTGTGTAAATTTTGGAAGGCAGTAGATTTTCATTTCTCAAGTTATTGACAAGTTGTAAATTATGCGGCGCCACTGTGGCTGTCACGTTTGATAACGAGCTGTACAACATGCTTTGTTGTCTACACTCAGATTGTCAAAATTTCCAGGAATATCTCCAAAATGTTGAGCATTTACACAGACTCATAAATAAAATGTACTGTTATTATGTGATGCACTAAACGTTGTTCATCATTTCAATAGTAATTATTTTTTTTTATCATCAGAGGTTAATAAGTCGAAGCAGTACAGAAATCGAACTCCACGCAGCTGACCCTCCTATAATTGTAATCTTCTATCGGCTTGGTGACGATTCCGATTTCCACGTTTTAACAAGCGTGTTTTAATCGCTCATTTTGGCTTGCACCATAACGCAACCTTACCTTATTGTAAGTGAAGAGGAATTGGAGGTGTATGCGGGGACAACGGACGCAAAGCCACAAACCGACGCCACAGATCTAACAGAATCACCTTCTTTTATTCTGACGACGGCATTTTTGCATTCTGAAAAGAGGAAAAATTAAAATAAATGGTGATCTGAACTACTTACAATTCCTTGTGTTGTAATTTTATCGATTCACTATACTCTACACCACAAAGCATTGCTGCTCAGATTCTAGCCACTGAATGTACTGCAGTTTTTTTTATTTATTTTTTTTATTTTAGTCATCGAAATATTTGCACAAATGATAAAACGGCTCATTTCATGTGCTACAAAGTGGTACTAATTGGGATTCTTTAGAGTTTATTTGCTGGGAAAATGCGAAATACGTAATAAATGCTTTAACAGATGCATTCACGCTTAGTGCTGCGGTGAATTCACATTAATTAATTTGTCCTGTTGTATCACAGGCGAAACCAACCTTTTATTTCAGTCAAAACAACCGCATTAATTCTAAATTCTGATTCCTTGTAGGATTAGTAAAATGATCTGACCTGTCTCCATGTTATCATCGGAAGATTTACATTTTAATTCATAAAAAGTAGCAAATGCATTATCGGCGAGTTATCAACAGGCAAAGAGCATGAAGGATTCTCATTAAAAATTGCTTTGGAGGAATTTGCCTTCGCTTGTTCCTAGTCAACATTTAGTAAGCCATGGGCATGCCATATCATCAAACAGGGCTCAATTCTTCTGAGCATTTATACTGCTAAACTAATAAGCCCTCTGAGTTTTATTAAACAGGGCTAGTGTCAATGTTTTGTAGTATAAAAGAATTCAAACGAGAAAACATGTCTACAACAGTTTCTAAAAATATAAGGGGGAGATTAGGGTGGATATAATGACATAATTGGCGCATGAGATATGATCTGATACATCCTCTTAATATAGACCCATGTCGACATAGTTGGCTTGGCTTGTCAGGTTATAAATTATTTGAATAGATGATTTATAGCAGTCAACACACCTGTTTGTTTGCTTCAAGGGACGTTGAATTTAGAATCAATTTTTTCAAAGCCGTTTTTGAGTGACAGCCATGTTATATTCGTAAGCATTTTACGAATTAAACATAAAAAAACACTTTAGACATGGTCTTCGTCAGCTGTCTATGCATTTTAGACACATATTCTAATATACTTTCTTAATTGATAAGTTGAACCATGTGGAACTATTAACAGCCAAGAATTCAACAGGGAGACACCCTAAAGAACTTGCTATAGCTGGCAA